TTTTTACGGTATTATAACTTATCACAAGCCTTCGGCTTTAACGAACCCTATGAAGAGTGACCAGAGGATATCTGCGGAACGAGACGTCCCTCTACATAGCAAAATCTATTCCTGTGCGTTTCACATGATTGAAGAGTTTGGACCATCTCGGCGACACGGGGTCGGTATTCCATCTTTTTTTTTCTCTTGCCCTCTGTAGTGGCAGTAGGTAGCCAGAACAATTTCCCCCATGTATTTCTGGGGGGAGTAGATGGCAGGTGACACCACATGGGTAGCAAACAGGAGTGGAAATATTTCACCATCCCCGACAAGCAGGTCCGTGCTCGCCTCGCTTAATGTTCACGGAACCTATTCGAAATATATCTCTAGGATTAATGTTCTATATATCCAGGCAGAACATCCCCGAGTGAGAACACATGAGCCACATATCAAGCTCTCTGCTCCTACCAATAATGCTGTAGTGGGGGGACGAGGCACTCCAAATGAGGGTCTCTCCTAAATTCTCACTCCTTGATGGCATGATCCCAATAGGTGGATATAGGGGAGACTGTATAGTGTTGATGAGATGTATGGAGGAGCATGGATGTATGTGTTAGGGCTGTGGGTCCCTAGTTAGTCGGTGTGACTATATTGTGTGTTGACCAGCCCTGTTAGTGGTGGCTTCCTCTCTTGTTCTGTATTTAGTCTTCTTTCGGACCTACCAATTGACGACAAGAACGACTCCTCTCTCCTCACCTTCGGTCTTCATCCACAGTGATCCCGTTGTCTTTCCTCCAGTGCACCGAGTCCCGCCATCACTCCTAGCCAAGCCCAGGCATTGCAAATTGAGTACCCCCACACACTCGGCAGCCATGTTTCCGTCCCCTAGGCAGTTGACGTGCAACCCGTCTCTCGATATAGCTAGACCACAAAGACTCCATTCCATCGGATCCCGCAATAGGCCGATCGAACCTATTTCGTTGCTAGTGCTGTCCAGGTGCCGCCTCTGCTTAAAATTGCAGAGGTGGCCAGAAGCAGCGGGATAGCGAGAAGTCCTAGGATACCAAATATGGCATTTCCCATTGGAGAATATTCGCCGTCTCCTCTGTCCGTAATCGAATACTCCCCTACGTTATCAGCATGCGCTTCGTAGGTGACGTAACAGGTTGTGCTTGATCTCCCTCTCCGCATATAAAAAAAAGGACGAGATTCCTTTTTGCCTTACGGTAACTTATGGTATTATAGAACGTGATATCTCCTTGGAGAAGACTGTAGACTGTATACATTATCACTATCAGCGAACTTTTTTTAACCACTCCTGAAAAAAAAAAAGCATCAACCCCCTAGCCCTCTGCCAGCTAGTTCCCAGTTGAGAACATCGTACGTGACGAACTTATCTGCATCCAAAACACCAAAGTATAAAATTGAAAAAGACCGAAAAAACAAAAAGCGCCGCCTGAGACGCTACTTGGTCATACTTTAAGCATTTGCTGAAGAGTGGCTTTCGAGAAGAAATAACAACAAAGAGAAGATAATAAGATAACAGACCCCTCGCAACAACACCGAAAGGGAATATTAAACCAGAGGTTAGGATGGAGAGGTAGGGAAGGCTCAACACGGGTGAAGCGGGGGGGGCTAAGGTGAGGTGATGGTAGTAATAGTAACGGTGTAGTTGGAAAGGAGGCTTAGGAATCGGACATGGAATGATCTCTGATACGGTAGAGGTATTCACGGCGGGGTTTGTACAAGTATCAACTTTACATATTCCGTAGAGGTGACATGAGGTACCATAGCTACACCAGACGGTGTGTGTGGCCAAGCAGATTCGCTGAGTTAGGGCTAAAATCAGAGCGAATAAGATCCATAGAACTCCCTCATTGCCATTTACAGAAGCTATGATAGGTTACAAGGAGTGGGTTTTTGGACACGCCGATCCGACGGGTCGGCGCTGACATCAGCGCGGCTTCAGGGGGGTTGTAACCGCTCCTCAACTCCCCTTTTCACTACATAACCAAAACCCAAGGGCGCCCGACCCCACTGACCCGTTTGGCTCGAATTCGCCCATTCCATGCTCAGCCGTACCTCCAAGGCGTCATCGATTCCAAAGTACCGGGTATTCCACAAAGCGCAATCCACTAAACCGAGTAGAGCTCATCCATAAGCAAGGACTTTTCACTCAATGAATTGCACATAAAAGCCAAAATACCTAACATCCCGATAGCACCAAACTCCCATTTCGTTCCCTCCAAAACAAGTGTGTTGGCATCGCTCACTCCACTCTCCATCTCACAGAACGCCTTTCTTCTTTCGCCTATAGCAGTCTCTCTCCCGATATCGAATTGATCTGCAACAAGTGCAGATGCGGTTAGGAGCCATCTTCAACCTATCGCTACGGTGCCCATAGCTTCGCAAGAGCACTAACTGTGCCACATGTCAGATGTGCCCCCAGGGGTTTCTTCACAACTTCTGATCTAACTTAAACCTGTTGTCTATTATTCTAGGACACGAATCAGGGTCCAGCCCTAGTACCAAATACCCTCCGATATCACCAACACGAGGTCGTATACGGCAGAGGTAATACCATATCCAATGGGATTTGGCCTTCTGCTTCCGATAGAACATAGAGCCTCCCCATAATAATAGTGCCGTATCCCATGATATCCCCGCGATCTGGGCTTGAGGTCAGAAAGCCAACTCCTCGACTTGTTATAAACCCATCTTATGCATCAGCGCAAGTGAGTGCCTATTCGGGTACCAAGGCTAGTCCGTGAACGGGACAAGGAGGGGCGGAAGTAAAGTCCACAGGCCATGTGTACATGCAGGGGTATATAAATTGTGTTAAAAGAGAAGAAATTCCGTGAACGCTTTGGAGATGATAATTGGTAAATCTTGATTTTCCAAGCTGCGCTAACTGGCTAAGCCCGAAACTTCAGTTATTGAGCTTGTTGCCAATCACTACATCAATGTTCACGGATTTTTATCTCCCCTTCGAGTGCAGGAATCTGAAGTTCCCCAACCAGCAGGAAATGGCTCAATAACCCTCGAAAACTCTACTCGCCATCCTCCAAGATCACCTCTGGCTACTCGGAAGATCCTTGTGGCCGCTTCTGAAATTTCTAGCAACCCCGTCTCAAACTGCCCCAGCAGGCTCGCGGGAATAAGCGCTGGCCCCCGTCCCTTCTGTCAACGATAATTATCGCATATTCAATTAAAAGCAATATTCCACTCAAGTGCTTTATTGCATAGAGCGCCAGTAATTAAGGGGTTCGGATGCGCAAGCAGTAGTTCGAGTACATACAGGATTGCGAATCACGCCAAATATAATTCTTTCCTTCTCAGAGTCCCACCACAAAACAAGGTGTCCTCGACATCCCCCAGCTCCCGCTCACCTACATCTTCGACACCAGTGCTCTCCACACCAATATCCCCCTTATGACTTAAAAGGTGATATCAAAGATAGAATCTGTTATCAAGTCTGAGCGGGTGTTGGCCGAAGCGACAGTCCACACTCCTCGAATACAACACGACATCTGATCCCCAGAGTTCAACGAAAGCAGGTATCATACCAAGCTAGACGGGAAAGTTTCCAGTGGAGAAGGTCAGCTTCTACCAAACACAGGGTATCCCCCTACTCGTAGCAGGCAAGAAGTCCCCTCTGCCCGGGACTTGCGAAAACATATGGCAAAAACCCGTGGTTGTCCAATGTTCGCATAGAAGATTACAGCCCCCGCTACGGTACCGGACGCCGGCACCCCTTGACCGCTACGAGTGCCCGTACACTGTATATCATATCATACGAAGAAAAGTAAAAAACTGAACCCTGACTAACATGCTCCGCCAGCAGCTTCCATCCAGAGCGTAAAATCCCTCGGCATGAAGCCTCAACTTCAAGCGACTAGGTGCAGAAAATGGGATCAGGATCAGAATCAGGAAGCCCTAGGTAGGGGCACTATCTCTTGATACGAGCTATCGTATCTGCCAACAGGGTCTCGGACCAGAGAATAGAGACCTATTAGCAGTGTTTAGGCCAGGAGATGTGCGCAGGCAGGAAGGGAGCGCGGATGTAGCGAAACTTTTTTCAAGAGTTTTTTTGTTATTTTTTTTCGCCTGCACTTAGTGGCAGAGGTGCTTGATGTGTTCATTCCTTTCCGCTTCAATTTGCAGATCGTTCGTATAATACGGTACTCCCGTACCGTACTGAGGGAGGTTTGCCTTCAACGTCAGCCTTACCGCACGGTGATCACAGCACGTCGACGCTCCCGGACGTCGGGATATGTCCAGGAAGAGGTTAGGTAGCTTGAGTCTTTGCACATCTCTACTCGAGTATGCGGCACCCAAGATGCACAAAACACTCCCGTAGAGCCTCATTAGAGAAAAAACACCCAATGCAGCAAGCACATTCAAACGGTTTCCCAGGAAGTCAAGCTTGGCATTCCCTTCAAAATAGCAAAGAGACAACGGGACCAACCAACCAACCAACTGCAAATCTCTACCGGTAATTTACTCGTACTCCGCCCGAAACCACCGCCACCATCACTGACCCCCCCATGAACCCTGCAAAACGCTCCGCAGCCTATCACAAAATCTCACTCGCGGATCCCCTTCAATATCCACCCCCTGTAGAAGGGATACGAGAAGAAGTAAAAAAAACAAAAAGTAAGAACGCTCGTGCTTTCAGTGATAGGCTTCCCGATATCAAGGTATCGGGGAGTACGGAATAAAAAACAAAAATGGAACCGAAGGAAAAAAAACCCCCCTTCAGTAGCGATAGAAAAAAAACGGGTAAATACGAACCAAAGACAATATAAACACCAAAGATCAAAAAAAAAAAAAACACTAATGCAGTTCCAACCCCCCCAACCCCCCCAATCACCTTCTAGAAAACCTCCGGGTCAAAGAGTTAAAAATCTCAGCCTTACTCAAACCCCTGAGCCGTACCCGTATTCTACGAGTACCGTACGAGTACGCCCCTCGGCCGACCCAATTGTACTCGAACACGGTACGGTATCGGTATCCCCGTACCGTCGATCAAACACGCGCGTACTCGAGTACAAACGTGATTCCCGGAATACGAGATTCAGAACATGCCTACCCCTTCCGCCCAAAGGTACCGTACAGTACCGGCATCCTTCACATGTCACGGTGCGAATTTTGTCTCTGCGCAACGTAGGTCGAGCTTTGCTCTACCGAGGTGGTACAGTACAGCGATTCCCGCAGGGCTCTTATTGGCGTACAAGTGCAAGTACGGTATCGGCATTGTACTCGTACTTGTACCTTGCCGGGAGCGTTTACCGTCCCGTTTATACGAGTGAGGCGAAGGGGGGGGTGCAGAAGCCGTGCGAAGGGATCCTGCTCCTGAATTTGGGATGACGTGAGGTGGTATGGCCAAGGGAATTGGGGATATAAAGAGTTGGTGATCGCGTCGGTGGGTTTTGATATCATCGCGCCATTCGGTTACTCGCCGTTTAGTCCTTCGTTCATTCGTTCATACACACCCGAGCGCGAGCAGCAAAGCAAGAAGCACTTAGCAAGTAAATCAAGCATCATGAAGTCCACCGGAGCACTCACGTTTATCCTTTCCCTGGCAGCTGCGACCGGAGCATCGCCTGTCGACCAGATTTTCGGAAGGGCTGTTGGGGATCAGTGCTCTGGCCCTGAGGGCAGTGGGACCTGTCAGAGTACTTCGAAATGTGAGTACGATGGTTGAAATCTTCCGTACATATACCAGCATTGACACAACTCGGCAGGCAATGGGATATCTTACCCACAGGCATTCTGCCCGAACGATCCCGATGACATACAAGTACCCAATCCCCCGGGCAAAATCTTGAATACCGTCACTAATATACACAAAGTGCTGCGTCGAAATCTCCTGCACAGTTTCCGCCGGTACTGGCTTCTGCCGCAGTCTCTCCCACGACGGCTGTTCCGGCGGCACTTTCCACAAGGGTACCGGAGCTGTACGATACCTCCCCTCCCCCTCCTCCCACCATTCCATCCAAAGCTAACCCCACCTTAGCCCTGGCCCTGCCCGGGCAGCGATGACATACAATGCTGCGTCAAATCAGGCGCCCAGGACCCCCCCGGAGGCGGAGGCGACGTCGGGGCCAGAATCCTCGCGAAAGCCCTCACCGCCGCCGGCACCCCCTACGCCTGGGGCGGCGGGTCCTGCAACGGTCCATCCGCGGACCAACCACCCTACAAGTACGGCGATGTCGGCTACGACTGTTCCGGACTCCTTTGCTGGGCCGTATGCCAAACCACTGGTCGCGACCTCTTCAAGGCCGGCCTCCGAGTCACGCACAGCATGTACTGTGCCAGCGACTCGACGCTCGCCGCGAACGGGATGCACAAGGTGGATTACGGGCAAAGGAAGGCCGGTGACGCAGTCTTCTTCGGCGATAAGTGTGATTGCTCGCCCGGGAATAGGGATACTATTCACCATGTCGGGATCATGATGTGAGCTTACTCCTTCCGGACTGGTGGCGAGTTCTATGAGGGTTAGGGCTAACGTGCGGGTGATTAGGGACTCGGGAACGAGGATGTGGAACGCACCCAATGATCAGATCAACAAGGTTCTCGAGTCGAATATCGCGACGTTTGGGGAGAAGCCGTGTCCGAGGGTTGTTAGGTTCTCGTGAAGTTGGCAAGTTCACAGGATCTCACTCGACTAGCTACTCGAATTTTGGCTGTGAGTTGAGGAGTAGGGTTAAAATTGGAAATTGGAATTGGAATTGGATGACGTTTGGTGTCTTGTATCCCTCTTCTCTCTCCTCTTTCATTTTTTTTTTTTTTCCTTCTCCAGGTTTATAGACGATACCGAACTTTGTTATTAAATTGTGAGGGGCTGTGCAAATGTGTCCTCATCACGACCAAAATTACCCCGCTACTGGGCGCCCCCGCACCCCCCGGACAGTTAGATGCCCGACTATCATGGCTTGCATAAGCGTAGCCATCGGATAACCCATGACTACCCATCTCCAAACCCACCCCGATCCCACCCAGCGAGAAACTACAGTACCCATTAAAAAAAAAATTTCAAGTGAACCACGACCGTAAACACCATCGCCCAGAATTCCACACAAATATTAAAGTCTTTTTTCCCCTCCCTCCCCCATTAACCGCGATAGGAGTAGCACAGATAGCAGGCAACATCAAACACCCTCCCCAGCGTGAGATTCTCGCGCAACCAAATTCACTTCCTACTATAACAAAACTGTGATCATACAAAAGTGCCCCACTGTGCTTCTAGCCCACGAGGAAGGCCAAGCACAAGCGCAGACATAATTCAACAGATTCTGCCTAACCTAACCTACGCAGATAGAAAAAAACGAAAAAAATACCACGGAATACACCGCCGGACAAAGCCGACCAACCGAACGTAGTGAGTGGTCCATTCGCCCACGATGCGATTGGATCGGCGTTGAAAGTGATTGCGAACGCATAGATACGTCCAGTACGGTAAAGCAGGATGGGACAATCTTACACGCAGTATCGGGAAAACGCTAATCCCCCCACTTCCCACCCCCAACCCCTTAGGGGCTCCCAGTATCTAGTTCTGGGGACCAGCATTTCCATTAAATTGTCCGTTGAAACGGTATGCACTTTTTCGCACGATATACGGAAAAGATGATGAGTATGGTTTTACGCAGTACGGTATGGTACGAGGGTACCGTATCATGCCTTGTGGGATTGAAGTTCGAGTTTTTTTTTTCCGAGTGGGCTATTTTTCCGTGGGGTTAGAGTGAAATGCCGACTGGCGACCATTTTCCCGGTTCGAGAATATCTTGGCAAGGATATACTGTACTCGTACAAGGGCGGAACTTTTAGCATACGATGTCGTGGTTGGGGCGAAAAATTGAGGGAATTGACCTGCAGTTAAAGCTGAAGTTCTTGAATGTTTACTTTGCGGGGAAGGGTGCGAAGAGCGGAAAGGAGCGAAAATGTAGCGACAAGCCGAGGGTGAATTGCATCAGCCTTCGTTACACGGATTAACTTGGGCCTTTTTCTCGACTCCCTTGAGGCCAGCCAGCCACGTAAAGCACAAGTATCCACCCGCCTTTCCCCAGTTCCTGAGGACACCGTCGACAGCTCGCACTCAATTCCTCGTTTACCGGTAACACTTCGGACGCAATGAGCGAAAAATCTATTAACTATCTATTCAATAGCGGTAACACCGACTGCGGTAATGTATACAATAGCGGTAACACCGACTGCGGTAATGTATACAACTTCAACAAGCCCGACGATGAGAGAGCGCAGATTCTCGCTTGGTTATCTCCCCTAGAACCCAAGAGTAGGCACCAGGATGTTCGCAATCGCCGGGTCAAAGGTGTAGGGAATTGGTTCCTGCGAACCGAGGAGTTTCTGCAATGGCGCAAGGGCACTTCGGCAAAGAGCGCCTTGATCTGCTACGGGGATCCGGGGGTTGGGAAAACGTATATCAGGTGAGAGATATACCATCGCCCGAGACGAGAGAAGCATTCTAGTTGCTAACCAGCGCTCCAGTTCTCTGGTAATCGACACACTGTGCGATAAGGCAGCTGAGCGAAATGTGGCCGTCGTTTGTCTGTATTGCGATTTCCTCTCCCAGAAAGAACAGTCCACAACAAACATGATAGGGTCGATACTCAAGCAACTGGTGAATGGGCTTAAAGAACTCCCGGAAGAGCTAAGAAAGACTTTTCGCAAGGAAAAGGGGAACATCGGCGGCCGAAGTCTTGCGCTTCCTGATCTACTCGGAATTCTAAGGTCGGTCTTTGGATTATTTGAGCAGGTGTTTATCTGTATCGACGCACTGGACGAGTTTCTGCCCGAGAATCGATTCGAGCTCATTGAAGAACTGCGATGGATTTTGCAAGAGTCACCAGGCGTCCAACTATTCCTCACGGGGAGGCCACATATTCGAGCAGAGGTTGAGAAACAACTCACAGAGTTTACTCGGAGCGTGATAGTACGGCCCACAAGGGAGGATATCATAATCTACCTGAAGATGAAGTTGGCGAAGGACACGGAGCCCGATGCGATGGACAAGAGCCTGGAGGAGGATATTATGAGGAGCTTGCCGGACGCAACCGCGGAGATGTACGTAGGAGTAGCATTATACAAATCCAGATTATCTGCTGACACTAAGCTCAAGATTTCTATTAGTCTCGTTGAATATCGAGGCAATTCTGGGGGAGACAACTATCTCTCGGCGAAGAGAACAGCTCCGGAAGATGACAAACGGTCAAGATCTCGGGGATGCGTACGATGCAACGCTGGATCGTATAAAGGCCCAGAGCAGAAACAAATCGAGACTCGGGATGGAGATCCTCATGTGGATCTCTCATGCGGAGCGCCCCTTGGGCGTAGATGAGCTCCGTCACGCCCTGGCTGTAGAGATAGGATCTAGCGATCTCGATCCTTGCAATATCCCACCAACAAGCACGCTACTAGGCTGTTGTCTCGGACTTATCACCATCGATAAGAGAGCAGCAAGAGTTCGGTTAATACACTTCACACTTCAGGAATACCTCTTTGCCCATTCCAATGCTTTCCGGAGTGCTCACTCGCTAATTGCTGAGGCTTCGTTGACGTACCTAAACTTTCGGCGCGTCAAGCAACTTCCACCAACTCTCCATAGCGCGCCCCCAGAAATCCCGTTTCTCAATTATGCTGCCTGCTATTGGGGAAGCCATGCGAGAAGGGAAACCACGGAATGCATCAAAGTGCAGGCTCTCAAGCTCTTCGAGAAATACGAGGAACACGTTTCGGCTACGCTTCTCCTAGCAAAGGCATGGCGGTTGGCCAAAGGTTTGCCTAAAGGTTTTACCGCACTACATTGCGTGGCATTCTTTGGCATCAGTGAAATTGTAAGCGATTTAAGAGAGATAGGAAGGTGGAATATCAACGGGAGGGATAGCTTGGGAAATACTCCACTTATATGGGCCGCTAGAGGTGGCCATTTAGAAACGGTGAGACATTTACTGGAATGGGCCGATGTTAATCCCGACATGTCTGGTGAGAGTGATGGACGAACGGCCCTATCTCAGGCTGCCTATAATGGTCACGAGGGGATAGTCAAATTGTTAATGGAGCGAGGAGATGTGGACCCAAATTCCATAGACAATGTTGGCCAAACACCACTCTTGCTGGCTGCCGAGAACGGGCACGAAGGGGTTGTGACGCTGTTGCTGGAGAGAGGAAATATCATTCCCGACATGTCGGACAATGATGGACAAACCCCACTTTCACGGGCCTCTAGAAGCGGACAAGAAGAGGTAGTCAAGTTACTGCTAGAGTGCGGAGATGTTCAAGCAGACACAGCGGATAACGATGGCCAGACGCCACTCTCATGGGCTGCCAGGCACGGACATGAGGGGGTGGTAAAGCTACTTCTTGATCGAGGAGATATCAACCCAAACCAGGATGATAAGAGATATGGCCAAACACCGCTCTTGTGGGCCTCGATAAACGGGTATGAGGGGGTAATAAAGTTACTTCTGGAGCGAGAGGACGTGCACCCCGAAATTTCTGACCTAAACGGCCAAACACCACTTTTGTGCGCTGCTAGGAATGGGCACGAAGAGGCTGTTAAGCTTTTACTACAGCGCGAAGATGTCGATCCCAACAAGAAAGACGACGATGGTCGGACACCACTCTGGTGGGCTTCTCAGCGTGGACGCGAGGGAGTCGTAAAGCTATTGCTGGGGCGGGAAAATATAAAACCTGACATAGCAGACAATAATGGCCGGACGCCGCTTTCATGGGCCATTAGACATGCGCACAAAGGCATAGTGAAGCTATTACTCCAGCGAAGAGACGTGGATCCCAACTCCCCGGATGACTACGGCCAAACACCACTCACGCGAGCCTCATGGAGGGGAAGCGAGGGATTAGTTGAGCTGTTACTCGAGCGAGAAGATCTAGACCCTAACAAGCCCGACATGGTATACGATCAGACACCTGTTTCCTGGGCAGCGGAGAATGGCAACGAGGAAGTCGCGAGGCTGCTGCTGGCGCGCGAAGATCTCAACCCCAATCATCCAGACACTACGTACGGTCAAACGCCGCTCCTGTTGGCCGCGGAGAACGGGCACCAGGGAATAGTGAATCTGCTGTTGCAGCGGGGAGATCTCAACCTGAACCAGCCCACAGTAGGTAACCGAACGCCTCTCTCTCGAGCTGCTGAGAATGGGCATCAAGGGATAGTGGAGCTTCTGCTCACGCGGGATGGCACCAACCCGAATACCCCGGACAGTGATGGCCGAACACCACTCTGGTGGGCTTCTCTCCGAGGGTGCAAGGAGGTGGTAGGGTTACTCCTAGAGACGGGAGATGTCCACCCCGATGTTCCGGATAACGACGGTCGAACACCACTATCTTCAGCTGCCGCAAGCGGAAACGAAGGCGTCGTGAAGCTGCTCCTCCAGCGGAAGGATCTCAACCCCAACCATCCCGACACAATATGCCATCGAACACCACTCCTACGTTCCGCCAAGCGCGGGCATGAAGGCGTTGTCAAGGCACTTCTATCCCACCCAGACGTAAACCCAAATTGCACAGACATTAACGGCCTAACCCCCCTCACATGGGCTGTCCGCAGATGTTACTCCCGAGTTGTCAAGCAACTACTATCCGTAAAAGCCCTAGACCCCAACCGCCAGGATCCAGAGCACCACCAAACACCTCTTCTCTGGGCGGTGAAGCACGGCCACGAGGGGATCGTGAAACTGCTCTTGGAGAGGGAAGACCTCACGCCCAATGTGCCGAACCTTCGCGGTCGGACTCCACTTTGGTGGGCAGCGGTGAATGGGCTTCACGGGATCGTGGAGATGCTACTGCGGAGGGGGGATATCAGGTTTGGCGTCGGCGATAGTACGGGGTGTGCACTGCTGTGGTGGGCGATTTTGTCGGGGAGGGAGGCGGTGGTCAGGGCTTTGCTTAGGCGGGGGATGCGGGGGACGCCTAATAGTTTGATGCAGCTTATGGATAGACGACGGTCCCTTGGGATGAGCGGGGCGAGCTTGAGAGAGTTGTGAAAGCGCCCTTTTCGGTGCGAAATCGAGGAGATGTTTGTAATGAAACGCTGGGTGGGGGTGAGGCAGTACGGGATCCAGCTATTGAAACAGGCTTATCCCGGCCCAATCGCTCCAGATTAAGAGCCGTCCATCCGCCCGAAAGTCCGTCGACAGTGAGTACTCGAGCACCGCCGCCCTTATGTTTCGTCACTCGCTGATATCCCGTGATAGCCGGTTTTCAAGGTTACGAAGGACCTCCAGTCTGTGTTGGGTACTCTAGCGACCCCACTAGACTCCATGAAGTACCCACCAACTTGGCCAAATTTAGCCTTTCGCTTCATGTCATTTCTGAACCCCGTTCCCTGAAGATCGTCCTTTCTGTCTTTCACTTCGGGTCCCCCCAATACCGGTACCTGTACAGTACCACTTTTGTATCGTAGCACCGTAAGAATGGATAATCCCGCTGGGACTTTGGAGTCACCTTTTACATTAGTACATGTAAGGTCTGTTGTACTTTTCTCTGTCGCAATTGAGTGTTGAAAGAGAATCCCTTCGCTGTGTTTTCTATCCTCAATCCAAGGGGGGAGTCCCAGACGTCCTACCGTCATTCTCAATTATTCAAATTTTCGCGGTACCCACTCGGGCAAACACGCTCACCAAAGACATCAGTGCTATTGCTCCCCACTTTGCACTCGAGTATTGCACTCGAGTATCGCGTCCTGTCCGTGGAAGTGTGAGCGTTACTCTGGAGCGACAGCGGCACCGGTAAGGCAGATCCCTCTGATGATCGAGGTTCCCCCTCCCGATCGGTACCTGTTACAACTTTATCAATGTTGAGATGTCCGGTGAGGTTTGTGCATATGACGTTGCACTTTCTCTATCGGTATCGTTAAATTGAGAGATCGCCTCTGCGCTCAGTCAGCAGCTAACAAACGATAGCCCTCAGAAATTACTCATATCACCCGCGAAGTTATCCCATCTGACTGTGCCGGCATTAGACTACCAAGTCACCGGCACAATATGGTTCCGGGCGCAACAACACCTACGGAGCTATCGCCAATTTCAAGCACCTGTAGCTGAACAACCTCCACTCTTACTAGTGGTCTACTCGAGTAATATCTGTAAATTCGTGTGCCGTAAAATCCTTGCCATTCGCTATCTCCAGCAGCCTCTAATATCCGGATTCAGAGACAAAAGAAAAAAAACCTTGAGAAGGGTCAGTGGTTTCCTATCGCAGTATAAGATTAGCCCCTTAGGCCGTGCTGGACCTCATTAACTAGCATTCGCAATCCTGCTAACTTGTCAAACTAAACCTATCCCAGGCAGAGATACCGTAGGGGACCGCAAGGATCCTTACGTGCGTGTTCACCTAAAAATATCAGCCTAGGCAAGAGCTTGGCTAACTTCACGTTTATGGGATAGCCTACAGTAATCAGCAAGAGCGAGGCTAACCGCAACAAAATAAAACATCTTGGCACTATCAGTCCCAATCAGGAAGCAAGCACGCATGCCATTACCAGATCAGGGGGTGATAGGCTGCTTAGCAAAGAGACCTTTACCGGTAATTGCCGGTAACACGAGCGCTGATTCGTACTCGAGTACCGGCACTGTACGAGTACTAGTACTCCGTAGGGCCCGAAACCTTGAGCATGATACATTACTGTACAGGTACCATCACATTACCAAGGCGTAAAATAATAAAAAAAGCACAATCCTGGACGATTTATTCTCCCCGTTCGGCAACTGACTGCGGTGGCTCACTTGTGCGGTAACGGCAATCCCTGCATGGCGGCCTTGGCGTCGTTTCACACCGTTGATTGGCTTCTCGGGAAAGCGGTAGAAATGCTATTGACTGCAGGGGCAAAACCTGCCATTCAGCACCGCCGACTCGAGTGCCACCGCCAAGAGGAGGCGGCGGTCTGCGAGTTTCAAGATCGGGCAAGAAGTGATGGAACAGTTAATCGAGGTTAGCCAACCGAATATACTCTCATCACGGTCAGTTTTGGCTAGTGCGTGCCCAGTATTCCATATCATACTCAGTACCGGTATTTTTACCATCAGTATCTTTCGCGCTGTATTTCTGGCAGACCTGTCTACCGGGGTATTGGCCCATTTTTCACAAGTACTCAGGTGCATGGTCGCCTACGAGGTGCTAGGTCTTAAGTGAGGACTTGATTTCACCTCTGTTTTCTGCCACAAACCTGTACGAAAGCAATGAAACCCAGATAAAACCTTAGTCTATTACCACATCACACACCACAATCCCACCAACGATACCCGAAAACATACCAGAGAGCCAACAGCAGAGTGATGAGGAAAGTATGTTCAGAATTGATGGTCCTCTGCTACCACAATTGGCTAGTACTGTTATGGAAGGGGCTGAGTAGTAGTACTCGTACAGACTCGAGTACTTGCCTCATATCATGAACAACGTCCGCCCCGGCGATCGAGCCAAAAATACGGGAAGAACGCGGGAAGAACGAAAAGAGGATAATAGCGGCACTTATTATCCCACTTAAACATCCTATCGATCGATCCTTTTGGTGATTTTTGTTGCCAGATTCACATATCCGAGTGTTGTCAAGCAAATGTCTTGGGCGGGAGAGGTGGCAAGGTACCCGCACCGGTGGCAGTGCGGAGCAATGGTACAATCAACAGGTGCGGTATGCTTTGGTACCGGTACGGTAACTGACAGGTTTCACCCCCGCAAGCGATGGCATTCCAAACATTTCTCTGATTTCTCCAGCCTCACCCGGACACCTTAGCATCCGAATTCCGGAGGGAGGGGGTGGGAAAACATTGCGGGGAATGAATGGATGACCCTTTTGGCGAAAAGCGATCACCAGCATACGGGTGCGAATGGAATATCACAAATGGCAGCGGAAGTGCATGTTGAAAAAATCCTGAAGCGTCGAGCGGAGGGAGGTTAACCCGCCGTACAGCATCATGGATTCTCACCCAATCCCGGGGTGGCAGGTGAGAGGTCGGCGTGGAATGGCACTCGCACCGAAGTTTTGCACCTGAGCTATTATGCGCCCTGTTATCCCAATGAAATCGTTCGGTCTGGGAGGATAACCCATCCATCCTCCCCTCACCCCCTTTTCGCCGCCAAGTGCTTGACGCGTCAGACATGTTATCATGTTATTAACCCGGTCCCATCCACTCCTTGGAACGGTTAAGAGGGCTGAAGGAGGGACGGAAGGGGTGTGGAAGGGGCGTTTTTAGCCCACTCCCGGTCCGCAGGGAAAAAGCAATTAGGCATACAATACGAGTACTCGTAGGTTATTTCAGACAAACTGAAGCTTACCAGGGCGGCAGCACGCGACAAACGATCTGAGGCTTGGTCTCTGTGTGAGGTGGTTTCCTGCTCCCCTTCTCCTGCTCCCCTTCATATCGGGAGGAGCAGCGGAAGACGAAGAACTCCGGGAAACATCACCATCATCATCACCGGATCACACCTGGAGGGGGGGGAAGAGTGTTTCCACCATATAACTCTCATCGCTCCTTTTTTCGCACGCCGTCACTTTTTTGTGAGTGCTTCTACCTTCTTATATCATAGACTATAATGTAACACCTCCTTTGTTGTCGTTTCAAGGGCACTGCAGCACCACAGCCCCCTTCCGAGGACTCAGTGTCAAAAGGACTCTTTCATCTGACTGATCTTTATGCCCAGACAACACTTGCACTCGTTCAATACTTTTCTCTTCACCCTCCCCTCACCGTGGAAGAGAGAAGTTTGGTTTTTGTGGGGAACAGAGCGGGATTTGGTTTGGTTTGGTTCGGTTTGATTTGGTTCCATTTGATTTGCCGGATCCTCTAATGTCCGCTACCACGCCTACCCCAACGAGTGTCGTGCCCTCCGTGGTCAACGCCTCGTCAACTCCACTATCATCCGCACCTCCAGCTTGGAATAGCGAGCCGGCATGGAAACTGCCCGGATGGGGTGAGCCGGTGGTGAGTTACCCCCCCATCTCCGTTCCGTCGTATTGATCGGTGGTCGATTTTCTGACAAACTCCTCGAAAGATCGTGGCGAGCATCCTTTTCTTCGCGTGTTTCTACACTCGACGGCGAAAATACGATATCCTCAACAATCCCAAATCCGATTATCGCTCCCTATTGGGAAACAATGGCTCGGCCGAATTCTCCCCATCTCCCTCGCGCAGCTCGGTGGACGGTCGGTCATCGGATGACGAGGATGAAGACCTCACCGTCCTCAGCACATCCAAACACCCACCTAAAACCCGCTCCTGCTGCGGTCTCGCAATACTGACCCCCAACTCGTCCCGTTTCTCAAACAACTGGCACTCACGCATTATGTACAAGTTCCCCTTCCTGATGGAAATGTTCTACTGGATTATCACCTATGCTATATATCGAATTTCGCATATTCTCTCGCAAGAGTTATTCTCGGATGATATTTGGGACGCGGCGCAGGCGAATGGCTTGAGTGTTTTGAATGCGGAGCAGTACTCGTTACTGAGGTTCTTTTTCCCGATTAAGGAGATTGATGTGCAAAAGTGGTTTATGGATGGGCACCAGGAACTGTTGAGCTTTTTGAATAAGACTTATGCCTTGATTCACATTCCCGGGACTGTATTGTAGGTTTTCCCCCGATGCATGGCCGCGTCTTTATGCGAGTCCGGGGCGAATTTGCTGCTGATTGGTTGGTTGATACAGTTTCATCGCGTGGTACTACTACTCTGCCCCGAATCATGCAATCTTCGCCCTCGTTCGGCGTACCGTAACGCTGTGCAACTGGATGGCCTTTATCATATTTGCCTTCTTCCCGTGCATGCCCCCCCGTCTACTCCCGAAGGAATACGGCTTCATCGACACTGTTCGCCGTGACGATGCCGAGTCCGTATGGATGTCCGGTAAATTTGTGAACCACCTTGCCGCCATGCCGAGTATGCACTTTGGCTACAGTTTTATGATTGGCGTGACACTAGTGTACCACTCTGGCGTGCTCAGCTTCGTGGGACTGGGATATGGGGGACGCAAAGGGAAGGTCCTCCAAACTGGCGTTGGCAAATGGTGGAAGGTTTGGTACTGCGTGCTCGGGATTTCGTACCCAACCATGATTTTGACTACCATTATTGCTACAGCTAATCACGTTCGCCCCCTGTATATACAGCCCTCTTTTACAAGGCTGGAGTGCTGACTGGTGATGATAGTATTGGTTGGATGCCTTCGCTGGAGCACTAGTCGCCGTCATTGCCTTCCTGTGCAACCGTGTGTTCCTAATATTCATGCCACTGGAGGACCTCCTCCTCTGGGCTCTCCGTCTAGAAAAGCCAAAGCCGAACTGTGGACATCACGCTCGTTAATTATATCCTCTCTCCCAGAGATGATGATATTATAAAAATGGAACAATAGGCGGCATTTTTCCCTTTTTTTTTCTTTTTCCTCTAAACCGGAGTTTTGAGATGATTTTTGTCCTTTTTACGCATTTTTTTATACAAAAAAAGAACTTTCATTATTGTTGGTCGGTTTGGTTTGGCTTGGCATGGTTTGGTTTGGGTTCTCCCTGTGGAGGGAGGTTGAAGAGGATTTTCCGAAGGGGGGAGGAAGGATGGCTGGGGGGTGGGACAGACATAACGTTATATATATACCCTTGTGGTCTTTTGGAATGGTCGGCAATTATGGTGGTTGGAAGTGGAGAGGCAAGGAGGAGGATTGTACTTAGACTAATATTGAAGTTTTGATATTCCTGCGGGTTTGAGAGTGCAATGTCTGAATCTACTGGCCTGAGGAGAATACCGTGGATTACGGTCAGGTACTACTTGTAATCTCCAGAGAAGAACCGTGGAACATAGTACGAGTACTCCTCCGCCGGAGTAGTACTTGTACCTCCACTACCATGCGCTCATACGACCGCCGGTAACCGAAATCACCAATTGGTGGCGTTCTGGGAACCGGAGGGGCACATGACCCGCTCGCAGCTCGCGCCACTCGACTCTGGACTCTGGAGCGAGTGAGAATTTGTGCTTGATCACTACACTAGCGGGGCGTCCTCGCGGGGAATTATTAGTTGCGAGTGGTTTTCCCGAGAGGACGAATACCCAAACAAGACTATGCTTGCCATTCCGCTCCTTTCCCCCTCCCTTTGTTCTGCTCGTTCATTCGCTAGTCTGAGTGCCAGTAGAGCCGAAAAAGAAAAGAAAAAAATGGGAAAAATGGAAAAATGGAGGGGGGAAAAAACGGAAAGAGAAAAAGGATAAAAGGACAAAATTTGGGGAGTGGGAAATGTCGGTTTTTTTTAAAATTTAATCGTTCTTTTCTTCTTCTTTGAATGGTATGGTACAGTATCTAGTATAATATAGTACAAGTACAGCACCCTTGGGCATCCCGGATATACCAACCGACTTGAGCCGTCGAGTGGGCGGGTAAGTTGAGCAGGCAAGTCGGTATCACACATACGATATCTATCTCCCGTCTCCGGTTTCTTGTGGAGCGCTGGGATAGGAGTTCTGTGGTGTGAGTATCATCGTATCATATCATATCATGTCATAGTCTTGGGTATTGGAGGGTTTTGCGCCGTGAGAGCTACCGTAGGCGGTCTTAATATATTATATCGTGAGTTAGCAACGAGGCTTCGTCGCCTGGTCGGTGTATCCGGTATGATAAAAGCCCTGAAAAATTGGACCCGGGAATTTCGCAGTAACTTACTTTTATGTCTTCCATTGGGGTGTGTTTTTTGCGGTCATGCTTCTCAAGTGTGATACTGAAAAGGGTGGGTTTCGAGAGGAGCTAAGAATTGGTTATTGTGTGACCTGTTTGTTGGGGGATGGGGTTTTAGGAGCTTGACAATTGTCGGGGGTTTGATCTGCTGTTGATGGGAGTGGCGACCCTTGGCAACATTGTTGATAGCTCGTGCCAGGTCTGCCTGCGCGAGCTCTCTACTGAGTGTGGTCTTGCTCGGTGTAGGGTTATAGGTTCTAGTGGATGCGGTGTGGTATGGTGGTAGGAGGTAAATAGGTAGGTAGGTAGGTATTATGGGGAGGGGGGAAGGTAGGGGGAGGGAGGTAGGTATGGAAGGAGGGAAGGTAGGGAGGTAGGTATGGAAGGAGGGAAGGTAGGGAGGTAGGTAGGGAGGAGGATGGAAGGAGGTAGGGAGGTAGGGAGGTAGGGAGGTATCGAGGTAGGAAGAGAGGGAGGGAGGGAGGGAGGTAGGAGGGGAGGGAGGTAGGTAGGTAGGAAGGGAGGGAGGGAGGGAGGTAGGAAGGGAGGGAGGGAGGTAGGTGGAAGGGAGGGAGGTAGGTAGGGAGGGAGGGAGGGAGGGAGGTAGGTAGGGAGGGAGGGAGGGAGGGAGGGAGGTGGGTAAATTGATAGGCAAGCAGGGAAGGATGGACGGGCGGACGGACTCCAGATGGTGTTTTATATCGTGGCTTTCGGACCATGGTGTTTTATTCGCTATTCTTCCTTTGCTCAGTTGGTTATTTGGAATGTTTTGTGGGGTGTTGTGGGTGTGCTTCTGCGATGTGGGAGTCGGGATCGGGGTTTGGTATGGCCTGGATGGTGGAAGAGTAGTTTGGGGGATGGTCATGGGTGATGATGTTTTCTATGAGAGGTTTTGTGGGCGATGAGTATAAATCTTCTCCTCATTCAATCCCGAGATGTTGGGGTGCTGATCTAGTTACTGCAACATCTGTACCCACACGCATCCGATCCCCATTATTTTCACACCACCCGCGTTATCCGTCTTTCCTCCCGGCCTCCCCCTCGTAGCCAGAGCTCCTTCGCCACCTATTCCGTCCCTCCGGCTCACCGCCTCGGCGTCTATGCACTCATTGCCTTCATTTGCATCGGCGAGGTACTTGTACAACACTGGAAAGTACCTGCCTTGCCCTGCCATTTTCCCGCATCATTGTGCCTGCATCTTAGCTTGAGTTACCTCGAACTTCTCCCTGTGCTCTAATTAGAATTTCACAGATCGACCTGAGTGGATAGCATTCATCCACGTCATGTACTAGGGAAGGGGTAGGACTGGAAGCGGAAGTTGAATCCCGGAGTGAAGTTGGGACCGTGATTTTGACGGAGATATTTTGCGGCAGGTGTGGCATACAGGATTAAGGTGCGGGTTTACGGCGGAGCGGATCAAAATAGGGGAGAGCAGAATAGAGCAGTATACTGTAGGGAGGTTGGAAGTTGGAAGGGTTAGTGGGGTGCAGGTAGAGGCGATATCAGCCAGAGTGTTGATACCCTGGTCGATTGGGCAAGATTCGGTGGCACAGGATGTGTTCGGAGATGCGGAGGCTATGGTTCATTTTTGGAGTGGTGCTTGTACTAGACTGGTCTGTGCTGGTCTGTGCTCCATGCATGCTCTGTGATGCCGGTATGATAGTAGGAACAAGAGGAAGAAGGAAAGGGAGTAATGGAGCAACAATGATTGGATAATGGGAGGTGCATGAGCGTGTCCCTGGTTGGTTGGTACTGTACCGTGCAGTACTGAGCACTAGAGTGGAATTTTAGTACCGTACCAACTCCTACGCTCCTTATCTACCTCTTCCAATCGCTCCACTCCCTCTCGCCCCTTTCTCCCCACCCCTCCCTCCACGGAACTACCCAAGTAGAAATGACAACCCCCGAGTGACGTATAGTGACCTGTTGGTACCGCGCTGCGCTGTACTATAATCGTACTGCATGATATGATGGCCTACGTGCATATGTCTGATCGGTGTCGGCAGCGGTCGCTGTTTGATATCTGACAAGCTGGCTCGAGTGGTGGCGATGGGTTGGAAAGTCATTGGAGGGAAGTGTGGATACCCGGCAATTTGGATGTGATATCGATCGGGGCTGTTAGTTCGAAGAGTGGAGAGGGGGGTGTGGGGAGAGTATGGTTGGTGGGTGGGTTAAAAGAGGGAATGGAGAGGAAGGAGGGGGTTACCACATTCGTGCCGTACTAATCTTTACGTCCGGAATTTGGGACATACACTTACAGGGCCAGTACAGAACCCGTCAGATCTAATTATCGATAGTAGAGCGTGGGCCCGTTTCGGTATCGCACCGGTATTGTGGTCTGGATAAGTCAGTCCAATTTTACCCAGAAGTCTACCGGAAAGAGTACTCGAGTACAGTACTTTAAACCTCTCTGGCCCTCAAACAAAATGTTTGGATCCTGCAGTTATTATCGGTACTTGTACTGGCATTGAGCCCGTAAGGCTACCCCCCCTGCGCCTCCAATCCCAAACAGCCGGACACAAGTACCGGTTCAGTACCGAAACCAGAGAAAAACAAAACATCATCACCCCCAACTTTCCCCAAAACCGAAAACGATATTCCCGGACCAGCCCGAAAGGATCCTTCCGTGGTGGAGAAAAAATAAGGAAAAAAGAAATATACTGCAGGTAAGACATTGCTATTATACAAGCGGCGAAAGCCCCGTGGTAACGGCGAATCATGGGATATCACCCGGTGTGAATTTAGATATCATAGTGGGGGCTAACGGAATTGGAACGGGGGGAGTGGTGATCTCTGTTGACGTGTATGAGTCTTTTTTCTTTTCTTCTTTATGATGGTTTGTACGAGTACCTAGGGAATACTTGTAGGTCTCTGGTGTTCTGGGATACCGGTAGTGTTGCTCCTGCCACAGGGGGCAATGAAGAGGCGGAAAAGTCAATTGGTAAATATGGTAGGATAGTGTGTCGCTCACGAGTACCGTAAGCCAAATTTTGAAATTACTTCCATGGTTGTATGGTATCGATTGTGCTCGAGCTGGGAGTAAGTCCTAAGAGAGGATGGAACAAAATAAAGGATTCCTATGATACCGGTACCAGCAACCCAACCCTCACCCAATACCGGTATCATACTCGAGAGAAAAAACTCAGCCTTTGCCTTCCCCTCTCACAATCTTCTCAAGGGAAATTCCGTACAGTAGATTGCCGTGGTGCCGAGGCGCGATCGCCCCGCTCCAAAAATGTCCTTCCGAACTCTTGCGGCATACACAACCGGCAAACGCCGTCCACATACCGGTACCTAAGAGCGGCGTATCATACCTCGAAAAACAAGACTCGGACCAGAGCGCGACTCGGGCCATGCATGTCAAGCCCATCCCAGACCGAAAGTGGGTTCCTTTTTTTAAAGTTAAGGGGTGAAACCGTCGATCACTGTGAGTTACGCTTCCTTATACGGAACTTCCCGAGATGCTGCCTTGGCATCAAATGGTGATGATTGGACGACGGGTTATCGAGCCGGTTCACGGAGAGAGAGAGAGAGAGAGAATTGCAGGGAGTTCGATATGATATTGAGTTGTACTATTGTTAATCCAACAGGGGTAGGTCGGCGGGACTCTATTGTTATGGTCGAGCCTGAGAATTGTAAAGACTCTGGGTCATCGTCGGATGTGTATAAATACTGCTTGATATCCGGCTTCAATTCTCTCCTCATCAGCTTCGACTTCAACTTCAACTTCAATTGCAATCTTCACTTTCAGAAATCAGAATCAATCTACAGCTACTACTACCCACTACTTCTTCAACTCCTCTTCTACCTACCAAAATGCAATTCTCTAGAATCCTCTTCCTCATCTTCGCTGCCCTCGTCTCTGCTGCTGCGATCCCGGGTGGCACTTCGGGTGGTGGCAGCGGGGGTTGCAACCAGGGTCAGGTTGTTACGTGCTGCAGCTCCTTTTCCGGCAGTGTTTGCAATCAAGCCAATACTGGCGGTATTGGCGGTCTTATCGGAGTTGGGGTTGGAAATAGTAAGTTCTTACCTTGTTCCTGTCCTAACTTGGAGAGGGGATATGTGAAGCTAATCAAGTGGGGGGATAATTTTTTTTCAGTTGGAGGAGGTGATACATCGTGCAAAGGCACTCAGTATTGCTGCCAGCAGAGCGCGGTATGTGATGGTGGCTCTTATTTGGAGGGTGGTCATTGGACTAATTACTGTGCACAGACTGGGGTTGTCGCTCTCAACAATTGCGGTCCTCTTATCGAAGGTCCTATTATAGACATTTAAGCAACAACACAGAGAGAGAGAGGTTCCCGGAACCTTATGATGTGGTTGTGACGATGATGATTTGGGCGATGGATGGGTATCGGTATGGGATGGGATTGGATGGGATTGGATGAGTTCAATGTGGGAAGGATTCAGGGAAATGATTTTATGACTATGATTTACTTTTCTTCTGTCACAACGGGGCTCCCTGGAGCGTCGTCCATGTCACATTCTCTGCAGTAGTTAGTTTGGAGGTCAATTTTATTTCATTATCACGGGCTCTTGTTTTCCCTGTTTAACGGAGGACGACTGAAGAATTATGAGGTGTGAACCGGCGCATGTAGCGGGTGGAGCGCAAGTATGCAATCGAGGGAGAAAAAGGTATATACCAACTGAAGATTGTCCAGGAGATATATACACATACCTCCCAAAACGGCCAACAGCTTCCCCAAAACCGAGTGAAATACCAAGAATCGAACCAAATGCAAAAGAGAGAAAAAAGAAAGAAAGAAACATACTCTCCGGCAGTGGTAGATAGAAACTCAGCAGACCCACCGGGAGAAAGCAAAGCAAGAAACGACTATCATACCGCTCCACACACACGCAATCCGTAATCCTCGTGGATCCTAAGGCCCGAACCTCACCCCAAACAGTACGAATTGGAAAAAGACAATAACTTATGATGATCTCATATCTCATATGATAAGCCAAAGCACCCATGCCCAATGGGGCAGCAGGTATGATATTTTGTTGGTTGTGAAAGGCAGCGTCCTACATAACCGCACGTCCAGCAGATGCCCCAACGCCCCCTTCGACTTGATATCCTGATTTGCGAGAGGGCGGGTTGTGAATTGAATTAGCCAGTCCACCCTAAGAACCCTGGCACAGCAAGCCCAAACTGAAACATAGTCTGCGGTATCACCCAATAAGGAAGGGATGGGAAAAATTCTCTGCGATAGTTTGCCTGGGATGCGTGTAAAAGTTGGTCGGTGATACAGTGCAGAAATTCCACCATACTAGAGCTCGCAAGCATCCCAAGTCCGATAGGCCTGAACGGCGATGCGCAACTGAGAGCGCTGCGGCAGCATCTGGTGTGGCTCCACTTGCACTCCCGTGATCGTAGCCACTTACTGGTATCGTATGTGCTGCGCTGTATGGCGCAGTAGAGCCCTGGTAGCCCTACACTGCGGTACCGATAACTCCGCATTGTTACTACGGTATATGCGTACGTATCCCGTCCAACCGGTCCACTATTCGTTTGTTCCCTTCACTCTCCGCTTGTTCAGGTGGAAACCTCCTCTCTCCTCTCTCCCTCTCTCCCTCTCTCCCTTCTTCTAGGATATCTCCACCACCGCTGTTGTTTGTCACCATATTCTCACCCTCAACAACGATTGATTGTAACTTGGGTTACAGTCACCACATATCACTCGTCTTTCCCTTGTTCCTTTTCGGGACAGTCGTTGACTCGGGGTGGATCTGCAATGATTTCCTTGCGCCTTACCCGCAAGGCGATCCGTTTACTACGGGCAACGCGCTAATTATGGGGAGCTCAGATGGGTTGGGTCCGGCCGCTAATTTATTGTCTCGAGCAATCCTTCATCAGCGATTCCGAGACATGGAAGAGCCACAGAGGGCGGAAAGAAAGAGCAAACCCCTCAAAAGGACGCGATTGATATCAATTTGAAACAGGCCCCCAGGGCAGCAACTCCATCTTTATATCTTTCAAGAAACATTTGGCCGTAAGTATGATCTATCAGTTTCAGAAGCCGTTAAAAAGGAAAAGATACTCTGGAGAGAGAGAGAGAGATGTAACTAAAATAAACAAACAGGAGATCATCCGGTTTAAGGAGTGGAAACCCAGCTTTGTCCGGTCTTTATTCTACATAGAAAAAGCAAGCCCCGAGAGAAGGAGACAATGAAACAATAGAGAGGAAAAGGGGTATCATTTCTGTATAATATCTATCGCCGCTCTGGACTGGAAAAACCGCGGGGGGTATATAGAATCCAACTAGCCATGAGAGTTGAACCCATCCATCGGATCCCGGTTTGCCCGAAACTTCCTTGGACCTCAATCTGAACGTTTTCTGTTTTTTTTTTGGCCTTATTCTTCTTCTGGTCTGCCGGGTGCGTGTCACCCCTACGCCTTCCAACGGCCTCGCATCTGGGCCTCCGCTAAACTTTCCATTATCAAATCAGGCCACCCTCGCTCCGTCGCTCACGGTGTTTGAGCCTTCCTCCACCATTTCCCCTTTTCCTTTCTCCTTCTCGTCCCCCAAAGGGTAATTATCCTCAACCGGGTCTCTGTAGAATTGGTGCTCCTTCAGGTACTCAATGACACAATTGGGCAGTAGGTACTTAACACTCATCCCCCATCTCAAGAATTGCCTGATCCTGGTACTGCTGATATCGTTGGCAATCAATTGCCGAACAACATGGATATTCTCCAACCAGTTCTTCCCAATCTTCTCTCCCCACTCGCTAAGCGGGGCCAACGCATCACTGACACTAGAGCCGGAACGCTCAATGACAAAAATCCCGTGGGACCCAATAATCAAGTCCAGATCCTCCAAAGACCAGACGCCTGGCTGCGACATAGTTTGCAAAAGGTCAGAGCCACCGAGCAAAAAAACTTGCGCAGGCTTCTTGGGAGCGTCCGGGTCTGAGCTGGTGGAAATTCCACCGAGCTGCTCATTCACGGAAGTGGTGATGTGATTCAGTACGACGGCAGTGGGCTGGTACTCCTTCTGGATAGCTTCCCATGGGTCGACCATTAGCCAGTCGGAGGTTTGTTCACAGGCTAATTCGCACATGCGGACCCTATAGTATGTACGTTAATCGGGACCGGGGGCGGAGGTGGAAGAGGAGAGGAGGACAAACCGATGGGTGGCGCTTGCCAGACCAGCCTTTTTGTACCGATCGCTCACAGGTGATAGGTAGCCGCCAACGACCTCATAAGTATCGCTCATGTTCTGACGTACATAGTCGACAGCCATCTCGAACATTCGAAGATGCATGTGGGTGATGGGCGAGAAAGAGCCACAAGCGACAAGGACCAACGGTATCTTAGTAGGATCGCTCAATACCTGTTGAAGGCGGTGGGATGGGAAGGTGTAGCTCTCTTCAGGTTGCAAGTCTGGAGAAGACATTCCTGCTGGGTTTGAGAGACTGTCACGACAAAGGGTGTTGGTGTCGGTTGAGGTTGTTGTAGGAACGGAGGAGGGGGAGGAGGTTGAGACGAACGAGGTAATGATGGTGGTGGGGTCAACGGACAAAGCCCTCAGTCTACTCGAGTATGGATCGGCAAAAGTAGGAACAAGAAATGGAGGGGGAGAGGGGTAAAGTTATGGGATATATAGGGTACGAGCAGAAAAAGAGGTAAAAGGCGGAAATGGTAAAGTACGGGTAGGGAAGAGGACGGAGGCGAGCGAAGTGACTAACTTAACTCACCCATCGAAAGGCGATGGTGCATGATCACATTTTGTGTGAGAAAGGAAAGGGTTAAAAAAAGCTCTGAACGCGGAGTAACTTCCACGAGATTTTCTCTCCCTCCACTTTTCCCCGACATGACACCGTCGGCCGTGTCATGTCTTCCCTCACGAGTGCCAGTGCCTGGAACTCGCGACACGGTGCTGCACTCAAGCACAATAAATAACCTTTTAATAATAATACTGGTATACTGGTAACCCGTGCGAATGGTACCGTATCAAGAGAGGAAAGAGAATAGCTGTACTGTACAGTACAGTACCCCACAGATTCGCTTTCCTTTTCTTCACCCTGCCTCCCTCCTCCCCAACCGTCGTGGCTTGCTGTGCTGTGCCGTAAGCAAGATCCTTCCTTTTCGCCCTCGCTTTTGGCCCTTTCGCCTTGCTTGCTGGCCCTGTGTGCACTTGATCCCGTCACTTCCGTCCCATCCCCAGCCAGTAAGAAGTAGCAACGGCCACTTGTATCGTAGATCGCATCTAATTTCCGGTAACATGTTTTCCCCATCTCATCGCTTTCTCCCTCTCTTTTCTTTTGTCTTGGCTCGTCTCGCATTGGCTTGGTTCGGTCCTTCCTTCCTTCCCTCCCCCACACATACTCGCCTACAGGGTAAGTGCTTGGAGGAGGGGGGGGGGGATTATTATGCTTTGGATCGGGTTCGCAGGGGCGGGACGGGTAGAGAGTGGTTTTTTTGAGGTTATTGCACAAAATCGCATGGTGTAGGGTTTATATTATATTGGGGGACTGACAGGGGGGGGGGGGAGGGGGCTCCTGTTATGAGTAGTTTCTGGGTGAATATATAATATCATAGAAGTATCGTATCTGAGCGCAGATACCGTACAAACAAGTACGAGTACAAGAAGAGTATCCCACACCGCCAATGATACCACTGAACGAAAAAGTCTAGAAACCTTTACAGCTTCGGTGGTTACATTACTCGTCGATGGCGATTTGGATAAATGTACCAGTGCAGTGCAGTACTATTCGCACGATACGGTACTTTATTGTACGAGTTACCAGTACCGTAACATAATTATTATGATACCAGTACCGTACCATACCGGTACGTACAAGTACAGTACCGTACGGTACGAGAGCAGCGCGAAATGTAAACCTTTGCACCCCACACACACACACACATTTCTTAATCCCACCGTTGGAGGCCTAATATCCCGAAGCACTATATTATAGCACGGTAAGGTAAGGTACCCCCAACCAGCCAGCCAGCCAGCATTCTATCATAGCAAAAAAAATTTCAAGCATCGAGCGACAATCCAGTCCAATCTAAACTTCGGTCACTCACGGTTGCCGGTACCGGTACCGGTACGGTAGTTGAAGAGCCCGCGTGCGATGTGGGTAACGGTATCTGTACTGTACTGTATCATACCGGTAAACTTTTTTTTATTTTAAGTCCGATACCGTACCGCACTGTATATATCATACTTGCACTGTATACAAGTACTGTACATACCCCTTGCTTCCATTGTCCCTGTGGCTATCATAAGACGAGAATGGTGTATGATATAGTTATATAGTATGCAAGCCGTGCAAGTCAAATCGGTAGGCACAGGATACAGGACTAGTAAATGTGAGAATGGCTCGAGCGAGTATGATACAACAAGGTAATTATAGTTCTTTAACATACAGCTATTTCCCTTTCCTTGGTACAAGTATACTTCCTGTGGCGAACCACGTATGATAGACGTACAGAACAAGATGAATAAAGTAAGTGAGAATACCGCTCCTCTCTCCCTCCCCCCCCTTTCTCTTCTTCTGAATAGGGTACCATGATAATGATTGATTGATTGATTGATTGATTGATTGATTGACCGATGAAGTAGACGGACGATTGAACGGACCAATTCAGCCACCGGCGAAACCCATGGTGAAAAAAGGATAAAAAACACTCTGAAAATAAACATGTAGACATACAATGCGCCAAACAAACCTGCCACACCACGATTCACAATGGACAATTGGGAAAAAAATAAAATAAGAGAAAAAAGCTGAAAGCTAACATCCACTAAATAACCTCCCCCTCCCCTTCGAGTGCCCGCCGCTCGCCGCCGCCACCGGTACCCCCACTAAACACTCGTACTCGCACTGACATCCTCAAAATCCATCTCCCAAGCATCTACGATGCGGAACTTCTCCGCCGCAGCCCGCAACTTCCTCCTCCCCTCCTTACCAAGGATTCCATCGGCAACTTCAACCGCAGTCCCACTCGTAGTCGCCGCTTCATCCTCTCCCCCAAGGTCATCGTCATCCCTATTCTTATTCCTTCTCGGCGCCTCGTTCTCCTTCTCGGAGCCAGTGGATTTACGCGCGTACTTCTTTTTGGTGGTAGTAGTAGTGGCGGTGGTGGTGGCGGTAGGGGGGACGAGGGGCCGGGACCAGGCTGACTTCGTGATTCTCGCGGCGGCAGCGGTGGCGGATTTGGACTTTGTTTTTGGTTTGGACTTCTTGGCTGGTTTAGGCTTGCGTTTTGCGGGCTTGCTGAGTTCGTCTTCGTCTTCCTCCTCCTCCTCCTCCTCCTCGGATGAAGGGGAGAGGTCGAATTCGTCCCTCTCAGCGTGTCTGCCCCGGCCTTTGCGTTTAGGGAGCAATCCGCGGAGGTCCTCCGTTTGTAAAACTTTTGGTTTCGGCGTTGCCGCTAGCTTGGACCTGGTGAGGGTCTGCTTTCTGCGCTTTCCGCCATGGGCTTGGTTGTGATGTTCTTCTGCGACGTCGTCTTCCTCGTCATCGGAGCCCATGCCTGCGCTTGAAGAACGGCGTTTCCGGGAGTGTCGGGGGGATTCCTGTGCAGGGGAGGAGCTCATTGGCGGGCGCATTATTTCATCGAGTTCGTGCGCGTTGGTAGTATCTGGCAAAGTTGGAGAAGGGGTGTTTGGGTCGGAGTAGATTGCAAAGGCCACGTCTTCCACCTCGATAGCAGTGACGGTAGCGACAACCTTCTTTTTGCCCTTTTGGAATTGAAAGGGGGATCCGAAGCGGCTCCTCCTATGCTGCTGCCCCGGCTGTGAGATTGCCAGGATCCCATCACCGTCCTCTAGATCAGTCCCTAGCCCGACCTCCCCCTCCCCTTCTTCATCCTCCTCTACAAGCTGGCTAAGTTTCCATTTGTTCGCGCGCTTAGGCGTAGGACTCGCTGGCCCGCCCTCATCATCCCCCGCAAACCCGTCACTACTAGCGAGGTCATCCTCGCCAATTCCGGGCAGCCTGTCCAATGGCTCCAAACTCTCAACACCCAATTCCCGCAATCTGGGTCTCTCAACAGACGAAGGTCTTGCGCGCGGAGGAGTGTACCCTTCATCCTCGGCAAACTCTAAAGTAATCCTTCTCTGCTTCCCGTCCCTGCCCTTTGTCTGCGTGGGCGTTGTCAGTCCCGCTTCGTCGTCACGGGCAGGACCAATGATCGCCGGAGGCGAGGATGCGAAGTGCGCACTACCGGGCGGGGAGTGGTTCTCGGCGTCAGACGATGCGGGGACTTGAATCACGGGCGATAGCGGGGCAATCTCCGGCGTTGACGGGGCGGATGCGACACGGGAGTCGGATTTCTGCTTCCTATGCAGGAACACCCTCGCCGTAGCGCGTGTGGGTTTTTTCGGAGATGGAGTTTCGCGGATCACTTCTTCAACGGTAGAACGCGTAGATCCCTTTGAAGGCGATGCTGCTGCCACTGTCGCTGGAAACGTGGTCACCTCTGCAACTGTAGCGGCGGGCTGTTGGGACTGGCCCCGCCGTCGTGTAGTTGTTGGCTTATCCGGCGATGTACGAGTAGATGCAACGGTGGCCTGACTGACCTGACTAGTCTCGAGGACCACCTCGACCGCGCCTCTCGACCTTGTCCCGCGCACCGGTGGTGCTACCGGCTTTTCGGCGATTTCTCTCTCGACTACCTTCCTTTCCTTCTTCCTAACAGTAGTAGTAGCAACCTTCTTGTTTGCCTTTTCCACCTCTTCCCCCGCGGGCGGTTTCCTGCTGGCGCGTGTTGGTCGTGGCATCCTGATCAACTCAATCAATTCCCCAAGTTCGCAATCTCCCTCCGCAATGGAAAAGAATTCAGATAACAACGGTGTATTTCGAAAGTAGCGTTTAAAGCACCTCCGTATCGGAGTAGCAGGTGGAAGCGGGTGATGGGTGGCAGTGGTGTGGTATGAGAGTAAGAAGTGTGTAAGCGATGAACCAGATGCTGGATAACTTAATTTACGAGCAACAGGCAGATAAGATACCATGACATAAGCAGAACAACCAACCTTGAAAAGAAAAGAAAAATTACCCTATTAGGAAAGAGTGACGTGACGCGTTGTTATGGCGCTCCTTCAGGTTCGCTTAGTAAGCGTATATACCGGGACACAACTGAACAATCGAGTAAACCCCGCACTTCGCTGTCCTTGTAAACCCCCCCCCCCTTTTCTTCTTCCCTGGAGCACTGGTGGTGGTGGTGGCTTTGCTTAACTTAACCGCTGGCACGAGCAATCACTGATCCTTTCCTTCTATTTACTCGCACCGCTATCCCGGAGGAGGTGTGAGGGAGAAGAATAAGAGGATGAACACAATGAAGGAGGTGGAGAGCGGAGAAATTTCAGCTACCATTCTATTGCCCGATAACCTTTTCCCTCTTATATGATATTCCCCCGCAGCAAGCAAGCTTGACGATCGGTGTGTGTCACTAGAAGAAAAAGAGAGAGAGAGGGGGGGGAAGAAAAAGAAATTAGGATTTTGGAATGGCCTGAAGGCTGCCTATTGGCCGGCGCCTGGAGATTCGGGAATGGAAATGTTTCGACACTCTACCGGTACGCCACGGATGGGGGATTCGGGGTCAAGCCAAGGGAGGAGGGAGGGAGTTGGGGTTTGGTTTAGTGAAGGACTTTCGGCAACGGATCGGGGCAGCACACTATACATGATCTGTGCCTCCGGATGGAATGGAAGGATTTATTACGCTACCACCATACTATCACACATCGGAGAGTTTTGCGCTCCGGGATTACGTTTTTACGGAGGACGGCGGCGATCAGGAGGGGACTACAGCTTACAATATACACACCTCTTCACCCAGGAGTCAAACAACGTTGGGAAAACATAGTGCTAGAGAACGAGAGCCAGATACCAGTATACGAATGGCTACCACCAATATCGATCGATACCAATACCTACCATTCCCGCCTATTCCCCTACCCACTCGCTCGCTCGCTCGCCTCTATAACCTATACTACCGGTAGCTTATCGCTGCATGAAACGAGCACAAATTCATCGATCATAGCGAGAATTTCCACAGGAGGTTGAAAAATTATAATGTACATACATGGAACGCATCCCTCCCTCTTTCTCTCCCCTCCCTCCCTTCACAACAATCCATCGCCCATCAATCATCCAAGGAAAACCTGATCCCACGGCCTAAAAAAAAGAAAAGAAAAGAAAAAAGAGCTCTCAAAAGATACATAAAAAGAATCAGCCTCCCTCTTCCTCCAACCTCCTCCCCCGCCGAGGCACAGACCATTCGCAAACCATATATAAGGGAAGCCAGGGGAAGATGGCGGAAAGAAGGGAGAAGGGGGAGGGGAAATTAACTACAAAGACATCATTGAAAGGAGAACGAAAGAAGAGACCAGTACTAAAAAAGACAGGTGGAAGGAACAAGAAGAGAAGAAGAAAAGACAGATAAAAACAGGTAATACACGCACCATATCCTCCACCTACAACCATCAACCAACAAAATAAATGAACACTTTCACTCCCATCCCATTCTAAGGAAAAATGAAAGGAAGAAAAAAACACAAACAGGAAAAAGGATGAAACAAAGGCTGATCCCGGAAACTTTTCCTCTCAGCTTTGATGATGATGATGACGATGAGCCCCATTCCCTCCACCCCTTCCTGCCGAACACGAAAAATCGAATAGATGGATGAAGAAAAAGGCTTAACAAGAGTTTCGGAGGCCAATGAGTAACGATGCTACTACATCAGGGATAACCCACTTTGTAAGAAAGAATTATTGGAATGACGAAGAAAAAAAGTGGATAGAGTTCATGAGGGGAAAATAAGGATAAGGGATACCATGGTTTATCGCATGTAAAATGAAGCAGAAAATGAAGCTTTTAAAAGAAAATGAAAAAAAGAACCCAACCAGGAAAAGCATCCATCCACCACCCCCCGTTATACCAGCAGACTCCCTCCCCATTCCCAGCCAGCTCATATTGCGAAGCCTTCTCGTCCTGTGCACCCCGACATAGCTTTTCCAAACTCGATAGCACCCTTATTAGGGAATTTATGTTCTGCCAGATAACATCACATCATGTAAATCCCCTCATGAACTCTCTGCTCCAGCCAGGTGTGGTCGGGGCATCGCAGGGATCTGTAATGCCGGGCAACTAATGGTTTCTATACGACGAGAGATTAATTCTTGCAGAGCCAAAAGTTGACGTTTCTCAACCTCCAAGGCGTTAGGGGTAAGTGCCGTATCCAACGAGGCCGCCGGTGACAATGGCTGATTCAGGGGTATCAACGATTTTTCTGTGAAGAGTGCCCTTAGTTCTGCAGGGGCCTTTTCCTGAAAAAAAAAATGTGAGCAGGAACATCCATAAACGTGAGAATGGAGTTTAGAGCTTACAATGAGAACTGAGACTAGACTACCAAGTCCATCGGATTCGAAAGAATCGTTAAGCCTTTCCTTGGAGCTCAGTTCAACCAAGGATTGAACAGTCGCCTGAAGTTCGCTCGGAACTCCCTCAATAGGAACAGGAGACACCAGATTCGGGATTGGAGTCTGAGGCATGGGCGTACTATTTCCAAGTACAGTAGTGTCAAGCTTGCGGCGTTTCTGAGCATAGTCGCGCTCACTACAGAAATACATGCACCGTTAACTTAAAACCCCAAAATATCTCTCAATTATGGGTCACGAGCAGGAAAACTCACTTCTTAATTTTCTCAATGAAATCCAACTTAATACCACGTTCCGGAAGACGATAGACAACACCGCTGATGAGGACTTCCTCAAAAGTCTCCTCTTCTTCGTTCTCAATCTCAATGACCCCATTGTTTTTCATTCCCCTGCGTAGGTACGCATCAACTATAATTGCCTTCTTGGGTCGTCTTGGCTGGTACTATTTTATGTTGTTAGTCCGGTGCGCGGGGAGGAACCGCTTTACAGATTTTCTCACCATATCTGCATGGGCCGGACACATCCACTTCTTCTGTGCCGGCGGGGGGTTTGACATTGGCATAGGGCTGACACAGTCTAAATGCCAATTTAATGGACAGAAATCGCACGAGATAATCCTCTGACCATCAGCAGCAGACTTTCGACAACTATGACAGAGAATGATATTCCCGCTCTTGTCTTTAAGTCTGTGGGTATCATATTCTTCCAGAAACCCGCTCCTACTATCGCACCCCGAAGGTTTCTTGTCAATACATGTATCAATAAACCAGGGTGAATCAAAAAAAAAAAAAAAAAAACATACCCAAACCTCTGCGTCTTATTATCCCTGACATCCACATATTCACCCAAAGGTCCAGTCTCAACCCCAACAAAGTAATTGCGAATCTCCGAGGGCAGCCTAAAGGACGAAGGGTTCCTTCTGTTTATGTTGTCTATAAGGTCCACAAAAAGCCCGCGGGGCGGTTTAGGCGGCGGATTATGCTGTGTTGTGCACTTATTACAGAACCACATACCCTCCGGGACCTCCTCGAGGGGAGGATTCAGGCAGGTGAAGTGGAATGAGCGAGGGCAGCGTTCGCAACAGAGGAACCGACCGGGCCCATTGCAGACAGCGCACACATCTTCGTTCTCCTAATGGTGACGTGTCAGCACCTGAAAACTGGACCCTATTGAGACAATAATCCGGATAACAATCCGCAAAAACCTACCGAAACCTCCTCAGACCCATACCGTACTCGCCTATTATCACTAAGATCACCAATCCCGGCAGTGACAACAATCGGATCCGCTGCTGCTTTTTTGACCGGACTGACCCGCAATCTCGCAAAATAAGCTTTACCCCGATATATAATTTGAATGGCCGGCGCAAAAGTCACAATGTACATAGAACAGAATAAAAAAAATAGAACACTCACGAAATCTTGATCTTGTTTCCCTTCGGCTTTTTCTTCGGGGGTTGCGCTGGGAGCATATTAGGAGTTCCAAGAGCACCAGACCCAGATCCAGATGCTGCGCCAGAGGCAGAAGGTGTAGTTGACGCGGAATTCGACCCAGCCGGCGGTGGAGTTGAGGCTGTGCTAAGGCTCCTCGCCCGCTTCCTAGGATTAGTTGCGGTTGCCCTTGTCCCACGAGGTACTATGGGTGGAGGTGGGGGATCCCGAACATTGCTCTCAGTTCGTACCTCGTCGTCAGCTGGGACTCCCTTCTTAGGTTTCTTGGGCGCTCGCTCAGAGGTTCCTTTGGGGCGAGTTGGTGGTTGGTTCATAGGTGTAAAACTAATATCCAGCGATGAGTGGGAGCTCTCGGGTTGAGAACCGACCGAAGCGCTAGTACCTTCAGGCTCTGCGCGCCCGCCAAACAGCTCCGAGGAAACTGAACTCAACTCGGATTCCGACTCCTCGCCAACTTTGTTTTCCTGGTCCTTAGGACCCCGACTACGCTTCACCCCATTCCTTCGCTTGTCCTTTCTGTCGGCCTTTCTGTCTACCTTCTCCTTCTTTTCTTTATCCACCTTGTCTTTTCTGATGCTATTTGCCGTCGCAGAGGACGAGGGAGTAGAACCGTTTACTTCCTTGACTTCTGCTGCCGGCTCCTGGGGAGGAGGTGCTGGTTGGGTGGCAGGTGTCGGAGGAGGTGCTGCCGGTGCGGGAGGTGCTGCTGGTGGCGGAGGTTGTCCATTCCCATCTCCGTTTGACGGGAGCCCACTGCAGGGCTCTGCCGACTTCGAATTGGGATCTCTCGCATTCTTGACATATGTTTGGAACTGCAGCACCTGTGCCGGCGTCGCCCGCTGTGCCAGGACCGCATCCAATAAATCCGCCAACAGGTTGTTAGACAACGACTCGTCGTAGAGTTTTTTAATCGCGCGACCCAATCCCAAATTTCCAATCTGATTGCTTCGTTCGATGGCGGCATCAACAACCATCTCGAGCCGATGACGCCCCTGCGGAGTCTTACTATTTGGGGCTTGGCCATTGATCCAGACATTCGATGGAGCGGTTGTGGATGGGCGAGCCCCGTTGGCACTATTGGGAGTTTGTGGGTTGATACCTGGCGACCGTGAAAGTGAGGGCGCAGTTGGTGACGAAGCAGTCACTACCGGAGTCGAACTGACGTCGGACTTGACCTTGGAAGCTTGAACTGGACGAGCGGGTGCCACCGGCGCCGCTGGTGCTGCCGGTGCAGGAGCTGGCGTTCCCCCGCTTGTCAATGGGCCTTGTCCTGCTCCCCCTCCTCCCACTCCTCCGTTCCCTGTTGCTACCATTCCCACTACCGCAGTGCCATTCGCAGGGCTTGCACTCGCTTCCATTGCGGCTGCCGGAGGTGAGACAGCAGCCGGAGTAGCGGCGGCAGGAACCGGGGTAGATACAGCCAATTTCCCTCCCTTCTTCCTCTTTGCTGGCTGGCCCGGCCTCTGTCGTGAAGTTGCTTCCATCATCTTGGTCGAAGGTAACTCGCCCAAAGGTAACATGTGCTGAGTGGATACGTTCACAGACGCCTTATCATCATACTCCTTATAAGATGCTTTAGGCGTGGCCAAGGGGGGTTCGGACCAATTTACAGGCGTGTCTACTTGTGTTGTGGAAGTCGAAGTCGATGCCTGGGGTTGCACGGAAGATAAGGTTTGGCCGGAAGGTTTTGTAGACGCAGGTGTACCAACAGGTGTAGAGCGACGGGTCGACGGTCGCGAAGTGCGTGATGACCTTGCAACTCCAGGAGCCGGAGAGGCCTTCGATTCCTTAGGAGGCATGGCGTAATGAATGGGTTTTGGTTAATGCAAGCGGTAGTGGTCGCGAGCAAAAACGTAAACCCGAGAAGCGCGGGGGGTTGGGTGTGGGAGCGAGGGAATGGGAAAAAAAGATGAGTGATTGCTCCTGAACGAGAATTAAAACAGAAAAAGAAAAGAAGAAAAAGAAGAAAAGAAAAAAAAAAAGGTGTAATAATTCGACGGCTATATCGAACTGAAATGGAAAAGTGAGCGAATGTGTAGAAACCAAGAAATATCGCAATTAGAATCGTTAAGAAAACTTACGTTTGGAGAGGGGGGGGGGGGGGGTTGTGGTGGCGGGAGAGATGAAAATAATCCTCAGCGAAAAACGGGAGTCTATCGCGTCGAGGATTATTTGTGTTGCGGTGGACGGTGGTAAGAGGAGGTGTGTGTTAAAGTAATGTGGGTGGTGCTCGTCGTTGTGGATAGAATGTGTTACGGTTGATGGCGGTGGTGGAGGCGGTTGTTGAGGCGTAGAAAAGGGTCGAGTGAGCGAATGTATGAAGGTAGGGGAAAGTATGGGGGGGTCTGGGTCTGGGGATATGAGATTGAGAAGCAGCCGGTCTGGGCACTCCGGGGAGCCCCTCGAGTTTTGGGTCCCTTTCTAACCTGAGCTCTGTAGGGCTGCCAGGCCGGCAACAACAGTGAGAAGCGGTGAAACCGAGGGAGAAAGTTACTGTGTAAGCGTGATGTTGGGGGGAAGAGGTGAAGGGAAGAGAGAGGAAGGGGAGGTGAGATGAGAAGGGAGGAAATGAAAAGGAAGGGGATCGGAACGGCAGTGTTGCGGAGTGTAGAAAGGCGGGTGAGCTGTCAACGACTTGAGGCCGCTTTTTCTCCAGCAAATCGTCCCCCCGAGCCCTCTGACCCAACTTATGAAGATAACTGCTCCGAGGACGAGGAAAGACAGCAGGCGATGTGTGGCATAGATCCTACGAGGGTCGGTAGTCTTTCCTCTGATGTGTGCAGCTCTTCCTCCCACTTACTTTTGCTGCTCGTGCTTGTGTGTGCAAGGAGCGCAGGGGGAAAGAAAGAAGTGAGTGTAGGGAAATGGGAGAGCGAGCAGGGTGGAAAGGGAAGAAAAATCCCACAGTTTCTTCAGCCACCGAGGGAATGGAGTCACCACACAACCATGAATCTACGAGGTACATAGTTAGGACATTAATATATAAAAAAACTTCCCATTTACGAATAGTATTGGAACAGTTTACTTCCAAAATCATTAATCATTACTCCTCCACACATTCCTTTGACTCAGGCAAGGCCCTACAAGCTCTGCAAACACCCCCACCGCGACAATCTTACACAAGCCTCCCAAGAAGCTGATCAAGGCACTTTTGCTAGTCCAGCCCAATGCCAGGGCCAGCGTTTTCATCGGAAGCCAAACTATCTTCCCGACAGAAATGCCATCAAAACTTCTCGCCACCAACTATGCCCGTAATTGCGAAAGAAATAATCATCACGACCCAGAACCCGCGAAAGGCCAACTCAAAGACGGCAACAAAAGTGATGTGTACACCGTAAACCAAGGGAACATGACAAACCCTTGAATCGTGTCCATGTAAACTCTCTATAGTCCCTCTCAATCATGTCCTCTGAGCTGAAGCGTCCGTTTACCCATTGCTTTGTTCATGAGCTCACCAAGACGAAGACTAGCCCAACATATCATACCCAAGGTTAACAGCAAGACTTGACAAGGAAGACATAAGTGGACAAACCAACCAATAGAATGATTAAGACCCCCACAAGTAGGTTATCTTGGACTCGGAGAATCACTCGTACCCCGCAAGCCGGGAATAAGCAAAGAAAAGACTGGGGAAACGTGCAGCTCCTTATTGCATCCTTTGACGCGGGTCTCCCCCGTCCAGTAATTTTCATTCCGAGGGTCACTAGGAACAGCCCGATAAAAGCCACATAATGGATGGAATCATCGAGGAAAAAGCATCGCTCCGTCAAGAGACGACGCAGACCACGATGCGCAAACGTGATCCTGCATTACCCCGGCCTTTGTGACGAACCATCGAACTTCACGATATTTTCCCGTGATTGATACTGTAGAGTTCAAAAAACTCCTAATAGGTGATTCCGGCAAAAGGCACCCTCGAGCTGTGGTCATTGGTCCGAGCTAAGCAAGATAGGCACCAAATTGATTTCCCAGGCTAGGGGAACACTCGACATGCGTCCCGTCCAACCAGACTATGACAACAGGTAACGCTTCTCACCCCCTTTCTTTGATCATTCAAGATGGAATGATTCCCTGCGTTCGACCAAAGGATGGCCACGTCCTTTAGAACCCAATATCTCTGAAACGCGCAACAGTCACAGTCAGGCGTTTTTGGACTTTGAAGAGTCCAAAAATAGTGGGCAGTATATCTGGACAAGACTGCACGGATGAACCCAGATGCCCAGCTTGAAAACCATAAAGACACGATGGTCATCCTCTGGGGGGGCGGGGATGCCCTTTTCCGAACCCCGCGCGCGGCCCGAAAGTATGTTGCCCCCCTCCCCCACGGTACATACGGGAGCCGTTGGTTTAACCTTCTCAAGCTATATGTCCCGCATGCGATGATCATAACTTAAACAAGGCACGAGTTTTGTATGTCGTCACCTTCGGTCCAGCGAGCAATGTCTACAATACCTGTTAGCTGTAATCCTCTCCCACTTCACAGACCGCGGTGGAAAAAGGGGAAAGTACACTTACAGCTACCAAAATGCTTAAACGTGGCATCAGTTGTGTTACTTGTGCGTGTATAAAGAACATCTCAATACATGGAGTTCCAAAGGAGCTAAAGTTAAGAGACAAAAGAAAGGATCTAATCATTCAACGTGTGCGCATGCATTGCATGGACTCTCCCTTCAAACTGCTACGACAAGCGTCCACAAAACATGTCCCTCGTGAGTGTATACCATAAATACCGTGTTCCCCGCCCCCGCCTGCCCTAACTATATGCCGACGGTATGGGTGTGAGAAAAAGCGTCTAGTCATATCAGCCAAATAGATAGAAAAAACAAGGCGACGATAATCATCCCGTATTGTAGAGGCGCTAAAGTATTCACGTCCCGGGTACACATAAATGGGGAGTAAGTTCAAAAAATAAAAAATAAAAATGGGGAAAGCCACAGCTGAGAAAGGGTATCTCAGAGGAAGGTGTTGGTGTTGCGCTGTAACCCCTTCAGGCGCCGCTTCTCTCCTCTCCAATTCATCGCCGCCAGATCACGTGACTGACTTGGCGCACCTCGCGTAACTTTTCCTCCAAATCCCCACGATAGGCTCCATTGTTTCAAGTAAGACCCCCGTCAGGTAGAAAGGGGGAGGGAAGCAATGGCCAGCGGGATAGCAGCATAGAATAGGAAAAAAAGGAGGGGGTGGCCCTGGGCTTGAGTGATTTTTTTGGACCCTTTATTTTTATTCTTGCTCTTTCCCTCCTGAATCACTCCCGACTCCTGCTTGAGAGTGGGGCGGGTTGATTGGCAAGCAACCCATTCGTGCTCTTTTTTTACCCAGAGGTCACCACTCCCACCGTGTTTACTCCTCTCCCGAAGGCTATGGTAGAGATCGTGCAAACGAACCACAGAAGAGTTTGTTACTGTTTGACGGATAGTTGGTTTCCACAGTATTTACCCCCGCTAACCCGGCTTCCTTTTTAACTCATTCTACCCCCCAGCTGATGGGTGAGCATTTGTCTCGTCGAATAGGTTTGCCCCTTCAAAATTCGCATCAGCAAAGCTCCAGCTCCCTCGACCCAAATTTCCATCCCCGCAGCACCCTCCAAGGCAATCGCCTGTTACAACAGCAGTATCAGAATGAGCCTCAAAGCGGGGGAAGTGCCTCCTCCCGCATTCCGGTTGCTGCCCACCATCGCGGGATCTCCTGAAAAACCATACGAGTGGGTGTGCGCCCCGGAAACATAGGGAAACCATGAGCGAGTGATAAACTGTGACTTTCTAGACCCGTACTGTGTCTTGGCATCTTGGTTGACACCGCACATTTGGCCAAACCGAAAGGCAGGAGAAAGGCAACCGAACCCAATCGCAAGATTAAAAAAAGCAAAAACAGAACCTCATGATTGTGATCCAAAGCGAAGCACAACGGAGGGAAAATGAGCACAGTATCATACAGTTGTTTAACCGCCATTATTGTCCAGCTCCGGTGGTTGATCTCTGGCGCACCTCCTCTTGTCCCCAGAAAATGTAGTCTCTGTCCGTGCCAGCGACCCGCGAACCCCATTTACACAAAGCCGCAATCCACGCCGATGCAGCCCTAACCCTGAGTTGGAGGGGCAGGATGTGGAAAAGGTGACTTTTTCACTCTCAAAAACCGCAATTTCAGTCGAGTATCATAACAAGTGCTTTGTTTCAGATCGTGTTGCCATCAACGGTTGTCTCGTATGATCTCAGCCCTGGTATACGTAGGAGGAGGCAGAGAGACCGCGAGAAAACAAAAACAAAAACATGAAAGGTCTTTATCTCGCCCAGCGCAACCACCCCCCTCCCGAGCGGCAAAGGGGAGACACGGTATCCTCCACTTCGCCCGTTTTCCCATAGTAGTGCTGCTGTTCATAACACGACAACGAAACGGTGAATGAACTGCCACATCCCCACAGAAGGATGAAGAGAAAAAACCCCCAGCGTGACCGGTAACCAGCTCCCCGGATATCATAATATTATAACTTATTCTAGGCCCCTTTCCCGTCATCGTCATCACCATCATCATCGCGAAGAAAAAAAATAACGGGTGAACGCATAAAACTGCCCGTTCCAGATAAAACTCACCCAGTGCGAATATCTGGAAAGTGGTTATTGGGCTGCTCCCTCTTCCCTACCTTCTCTCCCGCTTTTGCGCCCCCGGTTGTCCCTACTCATGTTCCATCACTCGACAGCTCTGTGCAGTGTGGCTGAGGATGCAGGTGGCAACCAGCATACCGGTACAGATCATACACACTTGTACATAACAACATCAACAGCTCGGCCCCGCCTCATCCATCCAGTCCCGTCAACACACGGATCTTAGGGCGATTATGTCAAGAAAAAAAATCATTCAAAAGTGCATTCTTGACAACAACAACGTTGAAGGAAGCAAAGTGGTATGTTTGTAACTCTTTAGCTGAATATGGTGTTTTCGTATACGCGATTTCGCTGGACTGGGGCGGGAGTGGGGTGGGGGGTGGGGTGGGGGGCCGGGTTGTTTTTTTCTTCCACCGTCTGTCTGCACGCTTTCGTTCCTGGGAGCAGCTATTTAAGCGGCGAGATTTCGTCATTTGGTATCATACTCGGACTTATTCACCGAATAGTTTTTCGCGCCGTTTGCACGGCGCTGGTGCCTTGTACAAGTAACGGATGGTGGGGATTTTATTTGTGTGCTAGTGGGAGACTGGGGTATCTGTCTGCGTGCTGGGGCACCGGTGGTCCCGGTAGAGAGAGAGTGTGTTCATGGTGAACGATGCGGTGAACTTTTTTTCTTCCGCTGGTTGGTGCGGGGATTTTTATTCGTTCATTCATTTTATTCTTTGAATTTGTTTTATTTTGTTTATTTTGTTACTGTACGAGTGTAAGCATTTCGGGGGAGAAGAGAGCCTCTTCCGAACGGACGAGCGTGGAAAAATACTGTGGTGGGTGGGATCACATGATATCACTCGAGGGCTTGGCGACACGTGGGCGCAGTCCGTGTAAATTGTTGTGCAAATCGGTCACGAAATACGCGTCTGGGACAACATACCTGTAATCACTTTTCCGTACGGAGTTAAGAGAGGTGGTCGGTCGTACAGCGCATTCACGGGTACGGGCGAGGGGCGAAAAGAAGGGGGAGAAAGAGGGTTTTATAAAAACAAAAAAATAGGAATTCAAGCGCCATAGATCCGATAAATCCGATCGGACTGATTGATTGATTGATTTGATTACGGTACGAACAACTCAATCGTTTGATCTTTGTGGTGTGGGGAGGGGTGATGATTAGGAGACATATTTTTGATAAACGAAGCGAAGCGCTGCAATAGGGTATGCGTATGAAGCCGTCAAAGGGATATTAATCCACTAACGGGATACAAGTACAATACTGTAGTGTCCCGTGAATATTTTCTTTCCTCCTCCTTGTATAGTGGGGGGGAAGACGGAGAGAAGCTGCGAGGTTTAGATGCATGTTTTTCCAACAGATCCGAGCCCAAGATTTTCAGTAGATTCTAACGGGTGCCTACCTGAAAGAGGGAGAGATACTGTACCGGTGCTCGAGTACTTCGTACAGAAGGGTACGGAGAGATGGATGAGGAGTGATGGGGACGTGACTGGGTCACCACAAGAACTGTGCTGGGTACTAGTACTGATTAGAGTACGGGCACTTTCCGGTGCCTGTACTGTACCAATTTGCTGCCAGCAACCTTTCTTGACCCGTACGAGCACTCGAGTACCGGTACAGTACTTGTGCGATGGGGGTAAATTACCCTCTATTATCGTACCCTACCGGTACTTTTGACGCTTATTTTTCTTGTCGTGATAATGATACCGTCATCCCCACTTTTTCCATACTGATAAGTCCCAAGACCCGCGCGAGAGATAAAGAGATGGGACCTTCCTTTTTTTTTTTTTTTTTTGCTTCCCACTTCGGTTTTCCTTGTTTTCGATGAGCAGCGACTTCACGACAAAGGACAGACGACAAACCACAGCCCAACTTACCGTCAAACACCCCCCGCAGCAGAGGTAAGATGACTGATCATCAAGGAATTTTGTGTCATGAAATTGATTTGCTTTTTATCATATGAGAATAGATGACTTTTGATTATGGAAGAGTTTGATGCGCAATCAGGCACGGCTTTCCATTGACTTTTAGTGACCTCCGGGATAGGTCAGAGCTGGGCCGGGTCACAACGACCGCACATACCGTCCACAAAGGGGACTGAGGAGATTGCACCCGCCAAAACCTTTTCTCTGCAGCTCACGAAAGGCTAGAAGATTGCCGTTTTCAATGCCTTGACACATCCTGATTTCCTGGTCCTGCCCCTTGGCAAAGGTCGAGCGGCCACTCACATTTTTCTGAACCAAGCCCAATTTCCCAGGGCTCGGTCAAAGCAGCGCGCTAGCAACCGAGACACCTTAGAGAGCAAGCTACTGTACTGGGGGGGCAAGAAGACAGGACTTTCACTGCATTGGGATATGCCTAGCTGGGTCCGGCAACACGAGCACCTTTCCCCCTTTTTTTCCTTCTTTCTTTTTCTGCCTTTGGCCGTTTCCTTTTTCTAATGTGTCGCTCGAAGACCTTTTGGGTACGCACTGTACGAGTACTTGTACGCTACTAGTACTAGTACACTGGGTTGGCGGGCGGTAGGGGCAGGATATCCCTGGCAACCGTGCGCTACGTGCGTCTCCTTTCCCTTTCAATGCCAACCTCTTCCATCCCCTTGGGGCCTGGACCATCCACGAACCATTGTTCTTCAAGAGCCAAAGCGTCCAATTGGAGGGGATTAGGGGGAAGGAAGGAATGTATGGGAGGTGTGGTGTGTACGGCACTTTGTACTGTTACAAGTACGATGGATGGAGAAAGATTCAATTGACAGAAGGGGGTTTGCGGGCGATTGATGAAAAAAGGAGAGGAGTTTTCAGTCATGGCCCCTATCAATGTTCTTGACTTTAAAGGAACTGGATCGAGGAGTGGTTTTTAGGTGTTGTCACATTGAGCTTGATATGATGGATGGACGAGGGTGGGATGGACGTATTGGTGGTGGTGAATGGACGGAGACTGCTGTAATTGGCCCCGGGTTGGGGCCGGCGTGACCCAAGCGATTTTTAGGTTGTTTTGGATAACGATGGATATGTTCCTGGTGTTCACAGAAAAACAAATCGGCAAAGCAAAAAAAAAAAAGAAAGAAAAAGAAAAAAAAGAAAAAGGAAAGGGAGGAAAAAGTTGGATTCGCATACCGGTACGGTACTCTCCCTGGCTTGGATTCGGATACTTGGTACAGTGCGGTGTGATAGTCACGAAGCAGAAAAGCTAGCAGAGTACGGGCTCATGAGTGAACTGGATGAGAAAAAAGAGGGCCAGGCTTCTTTTGCTTTGCCTGATTTTTGTCTGCTCGCTCGCTCATTCATTTAGTCACTCTCACCATCTCTGGTGCTTGTCTGACCAGACTAGCAAGCAAGCACTTACATACATACATATACAGTACATACACACCCCATACATACCGGTACATGTACGGTACTAGACTGCCCGCCGTGCTTTTCCCACACTCCTTAAGGGCCCTCTCCCTCTTTTTCTCTTCTTTTCCCCTCCCGCCGTAGTTCTGTCCTGCCTTTTCTCTTTCCCATATTCATTCTTTAGCCCGCTTCTTCCTTCTTCCCTTTCTTCCTTCCTTCTGTCCTCTCCGTCTTCATCTTCCCAGTCACCTTCATTTTAGTTGTTTTTGTCTCTTAGAGCCTTCTCAGCTGGGTGTTGTTGTCTTCGCTCTCCGCCAGGGTCCCTTTTTTTTTCTTTCTGCACTCCCCCCAGGCACCACTTCTTCCTCCTTTTTTTTTTTTACCCCCTTGCAAAAGAGTAATACCATACAATTCTTCCGATACTGCACCCGTGAGCTTAAACCTTCTCTGGTTCCTCTCATCTTTCTTGCGTCTTTCGCTTTCGCCATTACTACTCAATTAATTTTTGGTTTGACGAGATTTCGGCACGATTGATTGATCGGTTATAGGGGAATTGGTGAATTTATTTTTTATCTGGTCGATTAATTTCCTCCTGGTGAGCACCCATGACAACCCCTACCCCTTTAACAACTAGTGAATGAATACCCGCTCAAGATATTTTCCCATCTATAGCAACCATCTCTTTCCGTTGATTGCTAGCTTTTCTAATAGTTTCTCGTTGCGTCAGATACTCCAATTCATCTCTACCGGCTTATCGTGCTTCATAATATTATACTCCTTGTTGAAGTTGCTACCAACAACAGTTCGATAGCTTGCTGTGTTCTGCTATCTCACCTATTGCCGGCAGCCACAGAAGCCCCCGTACGCGTCCGGAAATAATACACCGGACTCACCTTCAAATCCATCACCACGGCTGTCTTGCAGGTTCCGCACTTGGACAGGTTTGTCCTACCGCATTTGCTAGGAGGAGCGATGCACAGTGAATCTGTTCAAGCGACCAGATTACCCCATCCTCTTTCAAAATCGTCGTCAGCAGATCGTGCAAACGGAGAACAGATGTCTATGCCCGGTGGATTTAGCACTGATTCAGTCAATCACCCCACCAGGCGCCGCGTGAACATGCCGTCAATCAACACTGGGGCTCCCCAGGGTGGGGACAATGGCATGGCCTCTCCAGGGACTGGGTACGATATGAATTTCACCCCACTGCTCCCTTCCCAGCTCCTTTTGGGTTCCCCGTTTCAACCCGGTACTCCCAGTGCCTTTGCTTCTCCCAATTTCCCGATGCACGGATTCCAGCAGACTCCAACATCCGGGAACCCCCTTTCGCCGACTTTCGGTGCCAACGGTTTGGGGTCACCTACCGGTTTCAACCCGCAGTACGCTACCTACTATCAGCAATCTTCGCCCACTGCTACTTCTCCGTTGGCTGCGACTCCCGGTATGATCGCGGGTACCTCGCGTACTGTGTATCTTGGAAATATTCCGCCCGAGACGTCTGCGGAAGAAATTCTTGGTCACGTGCGCTCGGGCCAAATTGAGTCTGTGCGTCTCTTGCCCGACAAGAATTGTGCTTTCATCTCGTTCCTTGACAGTTCTTCTGCCAACCACTTTCACTCCGATGCGATCTTGAAGAAGCTCTCCATCAGGGGCCAGGACGTCAAGGTTGGCTGGGGAAAGCCTTCCCAGGTGCCCACTTCGGTAGCTCTGGCCGTACAGCAGTCGGGTGCTTCCCGTAACGTGTATCTCGGGAATCTCCCCGAGGATGTGAGTGAAGAGGAGCTTAGGGAGGATCTTGGAAAGTTTGGACCTATTGATACTGTCAAGATTGTTCGTGAGAAGGCTATTGGATTCGTACACTTTTTGTCCATCGGCAATGCCATCAAGGCTGTCTCTCAACTCCCTCAGGAGGCCAAGTGGCAGTCTCCTCGTCGTGTTCACTACGGAAAGGATAGATGTGCCTATGTTTCCAAGACCCAGCAACAGAATGCTGCTCAGTATCTTGGAATCGCCCCCGGGTATGCCCATGTACTCAATGGAGCTGATAGGGAGATGATCTCTTCGGCCCTCGCACAGCAGTCTGTAGCCGCAGCAGCAGTCGCAACCTCAGCTGGCGGGATGAACAACCTCGGGAACCGGACAGTTTACCTAGGCAACATTCACCCAGAGACAACCATCGAAGAGATTTGTAACGTTGTCCGTGGTGGGCTCCTGCACCACATCCGCTATATCCCCGACAAGCATATCTGCTTTGTTACCTTCATTGATCCCACTGCGGCAGCGAGTTTTTATGCTCTGTCGAATCTTCAGGGATTGATGATTCATAACCGTCGTCTTAAGATTGGATGGGGTAAGCACTCAGGTGCTCTTCCCCCCGCTATTGCTCTTGCGGTTTCGGGTGGTGCGAGCAGGAATGTTTATGTTGGGAATCTGGATGAATCATGGAGTGAGGAGCGTCTCCGACAGGATTTCTCAGAGTATGGAGAGATTGAGCTGGTGAATGCATTGAGGGAGAAGAGCTGTGCGTTTGTTAATTTTACCAACATTGCGAATGCCATCAAAGCAATTGAAGCCGTGCGAGGGCGAGAGGAGTACAAGCGCTTCAAGATCAACTTCGGGAAGGATAGATGCGGCAACCCGCCTAGACAGACAACAAACAACCATCAGTCTGGTACCCCAACTTCTGCTGGCCATCCGCCCTTGCCGAGCACCAGCCCTGTAAATGGGCCTCCATCTGGTGGCCTCCAGCCCAGTTTGTCTCAGTCTGGATCCGGAGGAAGTCCGGCTCAGCTTAGTCCGTCTGGCTTGCAAAACTCTAACAGCCCTAACAATGTCGGGACTCCAACTACCCCAAACGTTCAGCACATGCTCAACAATAGTGCTGCCGCGAACCCTCTCCAGGCGTATCTTGCTCAGCAGCAACAGCAGCAGGAGGCGGCTATGTATGCTTCCTCTCTCCAACAGCAGCTTGCTGCTGCTCAGGCGGCTGCCGTCTATGGCCAGCCGTCTGGTTCTCAGCTTGACCCCTCCGGCCAGGCTGCCACTGCAGCTGTCGATGGGCTAGGTCAAAACCACAATGGAGTGAACGGATTGGGGCTTGGAGGTATGGGTATTCAAAACCAGAACCTGAGGGTTGGAGGGCAGCACAACCGTGCATTGAGTATGCCAGTTTTGGGACAGCAGAACCAGGTTGGACTCGGCGTTAATGGTTATAATGGTATGGGGAACAGCATTGGATGGGCCGAGGAAGATGTCAATATGCGTTGAAAGGGGTATTTGGAGGGACGTAATTACGGGGTAATTTTTAACAGTCAGATTTTGGGATAATTAGAGGAATACATTTTGGAGATGAATATTTTTGTTTCATTGGAAGAGTAGGGACGCGGAAAGAACCGACTTACAGTGTTTTAATGGGCTCTTTATCGTTTATTTTGTTTCTGCCCACCACATTGCTATCCTTTTTTGCATTAACCTTTTATATCGTTCGACCAACATGTACTCTCATTTAGTGTGATGATTGAGAACCCTTGACTTCCGACTTTTTTTTCTCCCTTTTCTTTGTATTGTTATGTTTTTTTTTTTATCTTTTAACCACAACTCCCGGTTTTGGATTTCAGATTACCCCTTTGCCGTTTCGATACTTGAGTCTGCATTCTTTTTGAATTTTCTTTTATTATTTTTTTATATCCTTTCATTTATTATTTATCCTATTTCGATTTTTATTCTGTTTTTCTGTAGGGATGGAAAAATTTTATCATCGAGTCATATCATATCGCAGCATATCACATGGTTCTTGCTTGTTCGTTCTGATGGTGGTGTATTGCATGTTTATTAGCATATCGCGTGTTCCGTTGGGGGAGGGGAGGGATATTGTAGTATTATCGCCGTGGGTATTATCATGTGTTGGATGCTGCTCGCCTCATAGGATAAGGGCGATGAGGCGTGGTAAGGGATGTTTTGGAAAAGGAAAAGAAAAGATGGAAGGGAGAAGAGCAAAGCCATAATCATCATCATTACACCATAAGTTAGCTAAGGACTAATCTTTTAACTCGTCGAATAAGGGAAGCACTATTTACCCGTGCCTTGCGATAATTTATGTGCACAAACTCGTGAGGATTGGCACGCGTTGGTGCAGTATCCCTCCCTGCCATTCCCGCCCGGGATTGCATCACTGCTTCTCACTCGATAACACTTGGTTGTGAGTATGGTGCCGCGTTTTTTTTCTTCTTTTTTAATTTTCAATTTGTTTACCGGTACGAGTATTTTATTTTATTTTTAGGCTGCAAGGGGATGGATGGATGGATGGATGGGTGGATAGATGAATGGTTCGTTTTGATATTTGTTGGGTGGGATGGTGGGTTCTACGGTTGTGGCGATTATTGGACCGGGTGGTGTGGGAGCGCGTTGGATTGGGACGTGATGGTGTGGGGGGCGGATTGTGCCGGAGGGTTTTTGCGTGTGTGTCCGTGTGTGTGCCTGTAGGCTGCGTGGGTTGGTTGGCTCCTCTCTTCCTCTCTCACCTTTTGCCATGGGTAACGATCTGTGTGTGTGTGCGTATGAGGTAAGCGGATCATGGACGATCACTCGAATGATACATGCTTACTATTATTATTTTTTAAAAAGGGGGGGGGGGTTACTCACCTCGTTGACGTCCTAGATTTTGTTCTTTTTTTTTTAAATTTTAAATTTTTTGTTTTCTACTCTTTTTATCGTGCGGAGGTCTCGTATATTAGGAGTGTTCCCTCCACCCCCACCCCGGATTTTTCCTATATAAGATGGTTAAGACTTTTTTTCTCTGTGGGGTGTGTATCATGTGGTGTCCCTTGGTGGGTGAGTTTTCTTTCGCTTCGATATGGGTTATGATATGTGGGTGAGGTTGGTCTGTCGCTGTCATCTAGTTATCACGGTAGTTTACGTTTTTCATTATATGGACTGAGCGGTTGTGTCTAGAGCGTGTTGGTACAGTTACGGTTACAGTATAGCACAGTACACGACCCACGGGGAGGAGAGAACCGGGACAATAACGGTTTAAAAGAGGGTGGGCGGAGGAGGAGGAGGAGGGGGTGAAAGACTGTTTTCTCCTTCTCCTTCTTTTCCTTTCCGGGATTGCTGGTATTGTATTGTATGGTAGGTAGGTAGGTGCAGTACAAGAGGTAGGTTGTATCAAAGTCATGTTGTGGTGTTGATATAGTAATTGATGTGAGGGATCGTGAGTATGTATATATATAATATATATATACGTGCCGGGTATATCGTCCTTCCATGGCATCTGTTCCATCACTTACTAACTATTTTTATATATATTTTTATTTATTTATTTCCGGTCGTGTGTGTGTGTTTTCCTGTGCTCAGGATCTACGGAGTGGAACTTGTAATCTTTCCGTGCGATCTTCCGTTGTCCGGGTTAAGTTCCCACAAACACGCGGGTGTGTATGATAAATGATGATAATGGTCCCATGTCTGTGTTTTGAAAATTTTTGTTAGGATGTAAAAGGTGTGATGGCGTTTTCCGAACCTCAGACATTGACTGACTGACTGGCTGACTGACGGGGAAGGCCTATGATGTTGGAGCAGCCGTCCTGATACGTATATCTATCATCCTTCTTCCGATCCGGATAGAGGAATGAACTCAGTTTACTGCTCCCTTCCTGCTGGGAATGGTGAGTAGGTTTGGAAGAAAGACTACTGACTGAGAATCTAGACTGTGGTATACATGTTGACGTTTTAAGAAAAAGGGCTCTAGATGGTCTCAGAAAAAACCGAGACAGATTCCTCCAATCTGGGCATTTCATCGGGCCCACGCTTCCTTTGTGCTGGCATTTTAAAGACATACCTAGATTCTCTGTTTCAAGTCTCTCCACGAGCTATTGGTCTATATATCATATCCCAGAGAGCTTTTTTTTATATTTTTTATATTTTTTTTAATTTTCAGCCGGAGTTTCACCCTTCTATGCCCACATTTCTTCACCTTCACCTTCTCACTCTATTCGAAAATCCGGTGGTTGACCTGTCTAAGACCAAGGGGGCATTTCTTTTCAGCTTTTGTTTAATATCAGTAAAAAAGATTTCAAGTAGGGATATAGTACGGAACCCCCATCGGAGCATCTTCGAACCACTCATCCTGGTAAAGGGAAAAGGGACACCGATCTATTGGTTCCGATTGGAGATGGTGTGTAAGCGTGTTGCGGAGCACCTTCGCCCGAATGGGTTCCAGCGCCGAGCGTCAGACTTAGCGCCGAGGGCTCGCCCGCTTTTTCACTTCGGTCCGGGTTGCGAGTGGGCTTGTGTTGAGATGTGGAAGGGGCCAGTTGGGTTGCGCATCGGCGGGCGATGGTTTACGATAGAGGGAGCGGCAATTGTCTAAGAGTATGACTTGGCGGGTATGATATGATAGGTGGTAATTTCGCTTTATACCCTCCCCCCCACTTCCCTTTTTATCCCAATATGGGTGATGAGGGTAGTACGTCATCACAATTTCTACTCGTGCGGGGGGGCTAGATAGTTCTCTGGGGTTGGGGTAGAATATACGTGAGTATTTAAAGTCTACCAAAGAAAACCCCATGGCCACTACTCTCCCCAGTTTTGTCACGCCATTTTGCAGGATTAAGGCGGCGACGTGTGATAGAATAAGAATGAACGGTTGACCCGGGACATGCGTTCCAAGGGAGGTGGGAAGCTGCCAGGCTTTTATACACCGCAAAGGAAGGGAGAAAGAAAGAAAGAAAGAAGTCAAGGTGTGAAGGGAAGGGGAAGGGTGGTGGATGAATTTCCGCACCGCGATGAGCCAAGTTTCTGAATGGAAACAGGTAGACAGGGAGGCGATGGGGTCTATCTACGCAAGGAGAGGAGGTGGGTTGGAGCTGGTATGGTACGGCTGGCGGACGGATAGGATACAGTGCTCCAGGAAAGGAACACTTATGACGAGTGATGCACTGTGATTGATGTCCCTTCACCATTGGACAAGTGTGCGATAGGCAAGGGGGGATTCGGTACTGAAGGTTCCTCATGGCCTGGAAAGGGCATTGGAAAATGCTGCTGTCATGCTTACCTGTGGTAAGGCCTGATGTGGTTTCCTGAGTTATGAACAACCTTCTACCCTCAACTGTTGAAAGTGTAGAATTTCTCTGCATATTGTGAGTGCTGTAGTGGAAATCTCGGTTCTTGTAGTGGGGGTATCATTGCGGATGGATTTGCGATTCTTCTTCTCAATAATGCCACTCCGGGCACCTACAAACTTCCTATCCTTCCCGGTGTCGTGCTGGATTCTTTGAATAGAGATGTTCTCCATCGCCAATCTGGTGTGCCCAGAAAAAATTCAATCTTTTTCTCGACGCCCTTATATGCTTTGTGCCCTTAACCTGCTATTCCTTGAGAGTCTCGTTTCGCACCCCGTCCAGTGTGACTAGACGCCGGAAACCTTTTTCCGGGGCAGAGGTGAAGGGGAGGGGGATTCTGCTGTATGGCACCGGGGATGAACGGCCTTAGGAAACACATCCTGATGAAGGGAGAAATTCCAGTTTATTGATTCCCACTATAGAGGGTGTGTAAAATATGGTGCGGACCAAGCCTACCCGATTGGGCATAAAACGCCAACGCCGGCGACTGGAAGGAACACCAAAGGCCCACCCGACTCAAGCGAGGTCCCGGCCTGTGATGGGAAATTATCATTAATGTTGAGAGGGAGAAGGGGTATCGCGTGGAGCATGTACCCGTACACGGGAGTGAGAGGAGGCCAACACCATCCGATCTGTCACTCGTTGGGTATACTCTAGTATGACCTGCAAGGGTGGTGGAAGACATTTACCATCTATCATACCGGGCGCAGCAATGCAGGGTACAAACCCCAGCGCCGGAAACCAGGAGGAACTCTAAAGACCGTATGGGACGCCGAATTCTAACCCACTCTACCCTATCCAACCCAACGGTACACTATTCGTACAGGGTACCATATAAACTCCAAGGCAGGAGGCCAGGTCGAGGGCCAAAGGCCAGACAGGGCGCCGAGCTCCAACACCTTTTATCCCATCCCTCCTATTATACACCACCCGTACGGGTAAGGTTAGGCAACTGTAAATTACCGTAAATTTACTGTAAAGTATAATTATTTACATAAAGTATTTTACCTAAGAAACAAAATCTGGTCAAATTTCAAGCCAAGGAATCCCCCACCTTTTGCTTTTGAAGAATACTTGTATATTTAATCTGAGAATCTGAAGTAAATCAAGAGTACTTCATGATTGGTAATCTCTATCCTTTCTCTCCTCATATGTATCATAAGTGTTAATGGTTGTTGCCTATTATTGAGCTTTTCATCAATTGAAACTACCGTCCCTTTTAGGAACTGGTAAAGCTCTTGCAAGTTACTTATACTTCAATTCTTGTGGTATAAACTATTATAATGCTATCTCTTTCAAGGCCATTAGAGACCCAGGTCCCACCCCATTATCAGTATCACCCAAGGTGTAACACACAGTTTCTTTCTATAGAAAACTTAATGTTCAGCTGTAAATGGAAAATCCTCCTTACAAAATATAGATTTATTGGTAGAGATAGGCTTTAGGGTACATGAAAACCCTAGCCTTGTAAATTATGTATGTAAATTGTAAATTATATTTTGTAAATTACCGTAATTTATTTTAATTTACGTAAATTTCCTAACCTTACGTACAGGGTGTAAACTCCAACGCCAAAGGCCAAAGGCCAGAAAGGACCCCAAACGCCCAAAAATTCTATCCCACCCGTCCTACCGCATCATACACTACTCGTACAGTGCAAACCCCAGCGCCAATGATCGAGCCAGAAAGGACCCCAAACGCCTACCAATTCTATCCCATCCGTCCTGCTGCATCATACACTACTCGTACAGTGCAAACCCC